TGATACCTTAAAATATTTGACTGAATATTTAAGTATATTATTCTATGACATGCAGCTGCCACTAATAGATGAATCTAAACTAAAAATTGTTAAAGTGTTGGTTTAATTTTAGCCATAAGCTTATATTCCATAAAAAGTCATCCACTCTTCCATTTTACTTAAGCTTATTGATGAATAAAATAATCTCTATTCAATTGCATCTCAAAATAGTTATTTTTATTTTCAATTGTATCTATTCTTAACTTTTTCTATCTTGTCAATCAATAATAGTATCTATTATTTCATTATATTAAAAAGGTATCAATGATAACTATAAATTGACATAGACTTGATAGATGTTGATTGTTAAGCAGATTGAGTGTCATTCTAAGCAACCCCGAGGAATTAATCAATTAAAATACCCAAATCATTTTGAAAGTTTTCATTATAAAGCGGTATGTGCTTTTAAAATATAAATAACATTCTAAGTAATTGTTTCTGTATCTACTACTAAATCTAATTTAGTTGAAATTGCTACGAAATTATTTTTGAAATTGAAGTAAATCTCGTCTAAGAAATAATGATATAGTATTAACCTGCAATTTGTCAGTTACAGTAAATCCATTGGAAGTGCAAGGTTTCTATTAAAATTAGCAACTTTAAAATTTCCCAAAAATGTTTTGTTATCAATACCAGAGGAAGTAAATAGTATCAGCAAATTATAAATTTATACTTTTATCAACTATCATGATCAATTTATTCAATGTTCAATCAAAATGTACTTACTTACTTACTTACTTACTCAATAAATTAATAACCGAAATGAAATACTGTAAGAAAAGAATGAATCTCTATCACTACTATATTTCTACACAATATTTAAGACCATGCTATGTTTACGAGTTCAGTCATACAAAGCTGTCAAAATAACATGATCAATACTTAGTAACTAACATTTATTAACCATATACGGCAGTAGGATAAAATATCAACATAAGGTAGATGAGGCGTAAATTCACTATAAAGAATGATAAATAATGTCGTACAAAATACCCCGAGTGATTTGCTGAATATAGCCTAGAATGTCCAATCACTCTATCTATAATAGTAATAATATATACTGACTCTATTGTACTCATTGCTATAATTTTAACTACTGCACCGTACTTTGATGGAAGGTTATATCAAATATAAAAGATTTTATCGTAGTTAAGTTATACAATTTATGCCGGAGGTGTAATTAATACTAGGCTCGGTCAATGTACTGCAGTAGCTGAAATGATTGCTTTGTTTATTTCATCCTTTTTATTCTAGTATTCAATAGTGTCGCATTTTTACTAGCAAAAATAGCAAACAATAAAGGTATGATAGATTGCCTAAAATTTATAGATCCATTTTTAATGCAATTAATTGCAGTAATTAAGTTTCTGATTGAAATAATGTCCATATTAGTCGCGATATTAAGTACTTTGTTGAATCACGTGCTATAAATTGAAAACAACATCATGTCTAAAGTTAAATTTATTCGCAATTATATTTCTTTCAAGCTCAACAATACTGATCTTACGCTATAAATAACTTATTGTTGAGCTAATGTTTTGCTGTTGTAAATTCAACTTTAAATATATCTCATGAATCGCACTATTTTTACCCCATTTATATACAATAATAATCTTATCATAACATAAAACAACTTTTTTCTTAACTATCAGTAAGCTAAGAATGGAAAGCTTTCTATATTATAAAATGAAATAATAACATAGCTTTACTGTAATATCCTGTATTACTATAGTGTTACAGAGCAATTAAGATTGAGTCGATTGCTATTTTTTATTTTGATAGAAATGATAGAAATTGCGTAGCTTCAACTAAAAGAGGCTATGCTATAAGTATTGACTTTGTTGCAAATACGTATCATTAGCTCGTTATTAGTTTTCACTTTACCATATGTCTGCTCTCTAGTACACTATTCATGCATCGCAGACAGTGATGAAAAAATTGGTACTATCCAGCAGTCTACTCATATACTTTGCACATTTTTTACTGTTTTAGCTAGTCATTTTTTTAATTAGCGTTACTCTTACGCTAACTTTGAAAACTCACCATTTTACTGGCCAGTAAATTGCGAATCTCGAACGCGATTCTTCTTTTTTTAAGCATGTTTTATCAATAGTCACTCCAAGTTTCGGCTAAGAACTAAGATAATGGCATAAGTTCCCAATATTGTCGCTGTTCAGCTCCCGTTAACTTTCGAGACATTACCGTACAATATTGGAGAGTTTCTACAATAATCGAGCCGCACTGAGTCTCATCCACTTTATATATCTAATCGATCCTTACATATTGCATAAGTTTATTGCATAATGCCAACAATGATCTCAGTTTAAGGTATTATAAATTAAAATGATTTCTTAAATTCATTTTGGAAATATACATCTAGAAAGGCATTATTGTATAGTTATATTACTGTACAGTATGCGGGTATGTTGCAATCAGTAAAGATATTAGGCAATTGGCAGGAAAGAGCTTGACGAATTTTTATCTTGTAGCTAGCAACCTCGTAACTAGTACGGTTAGTAGATAGCTAAAACTAGCGCTCATTATCATGGTAATACCAAATACTAGTTAGGTTAGAAATAGCTACATATAAGCGTTAGAATGGTAGTAACAGATAGGAAGTAAATACAATAAATGCTAAATCACAATACAATTCTACCACGAGACGACCGTATGCGTATTTAGTAGCTACGCTAGACTATCGTTCTCTCCTTCTTGAAGGAAAGGAGATTGATATGAAAATATGGAGTTGAGACTATGACTATAGGTATGTATCGTACTTCATCCTATGTCTCTATTTTTTATGTTATGTTGTGATGTAAGCTGAGATATTGTAGTCTTGCAATAATACGTAATATTAGATAGGAATGTGCTGCTGTATGTCTGCACATAACATTACTTGCAAAACATTCGCATCAAGCGATTGGAAATGCTATGGCATGCAGTAACTGATTCAAAGTTGTTAACAGCTTTCGATAGTGAATAATTTCGTACTAAATTGTCAAGTCATGCTGGCGTTTTAATCAGCTCTAAAGTAACATATGTAAATTCTGTGTCTAACTGATACACTACTGGATTATCTACTGTATGAAATAATCGTAATTTCATTAAGAATTCTAATGGAATATCATTGGTTACGTAGGCATACATCATATAAATTTGTTTAATAAATGTCCACATTACCTCGCTTTATTTTTTGTTCAAGAATAATAATGAATACATAAATATAATTACTGCTGAAGGTGTAGTTGTTACTTTCTACAATATTTTACAATCGATTGCGAAATCTTTCTTGAATGATTCGTAAATTGAAGTTTGAAAATATTTTTCCGCTTGCACGAATTGCGCAAACATTACATATTGATCAAGGATGAATCTATTGCGCTTTTATTCCAAAACAAATTCTCGTATGTTGTCACGGACTATTTCCGGGCAAGTTTACTAGTTTAACGTATGGTCTAACGTAAAGCACTTCGAGTTGCTTCTGCAGATTGCAGTACTACCCTAATCAGTCGTAAGCAGTAGTAACAATATAGTACTGCTACTATGGTACCTAAGAACTCCCTTTCTAAAAGTCTGACAATCATTATAGCACTGAAACACTGCGAGCCACAATACTTTCTTAACTGCATAATTTAGGCAACGTAGTGCCGTAAAACATGGGAGTTTGTAGCTGTTCATTACACTGTACGTCTATATAGGTAAACGGGTGTATAATATCATTATATGTATGCGCGCAACTTTTATTTTATTTTTAGTACTCTTCAACACAGCTTATACATTAGCCTTAACCATTTTGCATAAATTACTCTGCACACTTGGTTTAAGCTGTCCTACTAATTGATGCATTAGACATTCATTTTTTTTTTAAGACCTGTAATATATAATGTATCAGTAGGACAGAATTAACGAAGTGTACAAAGTAATTTGTGCAAATTGGCTCGAGCTATTGATGTTATGCAGTTCATACATACTATACATAAGTACACATTAATTTAAAAAATATTCTATATAAGGATTTTAATAGCGTTATTCACTCGATTAGCTTTATTGCTATAGTTTGTCCATCGCGTACCAGATGCAATGGTTCAAAATAAAATTGAATTTCAATTTTTTTCAACTATGCTCTAATTAACGAAGAGAAAGTCCCAGCGATCGACTATGGACGCCCGTACGCTGTGACACCGTTTTTAGGTGTGATTTCAAAGGCTGTAAAATGAGTTGAAGTTTTAGTGGGGGTCACATGATGATCAGGTCTACTGACTTCAGTATACAGTAGAGTACTGTACAGTGTACTGTACACTGTACTATACTGTACAGTGCACAGGAAAACGTGGACTAGAGGGTCTGTAGTGCACACTGCACAGGCGCATGACTGCTGTACACTGAGAGTACAGTGTACAGTGCACAGTGCACAGGAAAACGTGCACTCTGTAAGAAGGGTCTCTACTGTAGACGGTTTGTTGTGCACAGTGCACAGGCGCATGACTGCTGCACACTGAGTGTACAGTGTACAGTGTACAGTCCGGTAGTGCGTCGATGATGTCATGGTTAGTCGTTTACTGCATAGTATTTTGTCCATCAGGATTGCGGCTTAGACTAAAGGCTAGACTAGGCATGGGCACTGTCCAGCGCTAGACTATGCGTTCAAAGCAAGCAATGGCGCTGTAAGCACGGACACTAGCTGCTAGCCTAGGTAAGAGAGCGTAATCTTAAAATCTGGTGGAAAAAAAAAAAGAATTGGATCGGTATATTGAAACACTAGCAGAAACGAAAATTGGAATCAGCTTGAATTGTTGGATCAATTGAAACTGCAACCACGATCCGATTGGAGAATACAGTATTGGGAATATTTCATGATATTGATTGGTGTGGTGGCTTTCCCGCTAGGCCTTGAATGTCACCAACGTACTGAAAGATTTGTAATCTACTACTGTACTGTATTGTAGACCAGAGGAGCAACAATGCCTATCCAAAAATTTGCCGTCCCTATCATTACCACGGATTTAAGACGTGAAGAATCACTACGGCAAACTGCTGATGTTCTACAACATGTCGAGAAGGTATGCAACGATACATTCGATCATGTGGTTCAACGAGTTGAGGATGTTAAGAAGAAATTAGAAGCAATCGAAAACCGAACCAAAGTAGCCAAAGCAAAAATCGATAAAATTCGAACTAGTACTAAAGCAACGACAATCTTATCGGCTAATAAATATCCTGTCGCCGATATTATGACCAATTATGAATCCCTATTCGCTTCTATCGATTCGGAATTAGGTGAATTAAAACGCAGCCACTACCGCATTACAAACGATATCATGCCATTTAATGAAAAGTTAATTGATGAATCGCCCAAGATCGAATTGCCCAATGCTCGTCATAGAATAAACATGGTTGAAGATCAACTAGACGAAGGCTTAGGTGGTTTACCGACAGATTTAACCTCTGTCAGTTCGCTATTATTATTTAATTCGCAAGAAAATCCCTATAAGAAATATATTACATTGGATCCTTTGGCTGGTGCTGTGACTAAAACTCGATCGACGATAGAACAAGAAGCCAATGCTCTTGGCGATGCACCGGTGACTATTAGCCAGCGCCAAGGTATGGAACGTAAACCTATGGAATCTTACTTTTATGTTCCCAATCTTGGAGATGTACCAGAATTCGATGTACCCAGCTTTCTACCCAATTTATCTGGTGTTGCAGATGATGTAACTTTTGAGTAAGTATGACATTGCCGTCTATTGCTCATTTATTATAAACTAAAATCTGAAATTATATGAAATCGGGACGCACCCATCAGACCACTCTATTAGTCTATGGCACGGTACTTACAGTATTGTAATATTACAAGGTGTACGTGATAAAATTACCTGCTAACATAACAGGTTGAATTTGATAGCTGTATGTAAGGTCTATCCTACTATAGTTAACATCGTTTACTATTGAATTTCTTAAACAGAAAAGTGTCTAATAAGGTCTTGTATTTACTTTCAATTGCTTGCAGTTTACTGTACAGTTAATACCTTATAATGGAGATAATGTTTGCTCTCGCTGTTTGTTAATTACAACATATCATCTATCTTGAATGGGAGTGAATACACAGTCTAGCATACCATGATATTATTTTATTCAATTAACGTCTTTGCTAATTAATTATATTTTACTTGAATGCTATATAGCGTTGACAATGAAATAAGCATAGCTCCTTCAGCTGGATTTGTATTTCCTGATTTACCCACTGTGGAGACTACGCCTGTCCCTACTGCCAACGGTGGTACAGAAGCAGCAGCTCCTCCTCCTCCTCCGTCAGGAGGTGCTCCACCACCACCACCGCCACCGCCACCTCCTGCAGCTCCTGGCCAAGGAGGGCCAGCACCGCCGCCACCACCACCAGCACCTGAAAATGTACCTCCACCGCCGCCACCACCACCAGCACCTGAAAATGCACCTGCACCGCCGCCACCACCACCAGCTGACGATGGATCGAAAGGTAACGAAATCGATTTACGTATTTTAAATCTTAACAATATCGCATTTCATATACAGTACACTGTATCATGCATCGATACGCGTATACTGTATCAGATTAAAATTTCAGATACTTAAATTAGTTTAATACGTACCTACGCGTGATAATATTATAGTACCGAGTTTTAAATTGATGTCGGCATTATACACGTATTTTTAGGTGGTACTACAATTCCCGCTGTTGATTCTGGTCGCTCTAGTTTGATGGATGCAATTCGCTCAGCAGGCGGATCAGGCAAAGCAAAATTAAAGAGTGTCAAAGAACGAAAGAAAGAACGAAAAGCCAAACAGGAAGAAGAAGAAAGCAAACCGCTCGTCGGTGGAGGGGACCTAATGGGTGATCTAAAAGCTAAATTGCTTTCGCGTCGGAAGGGTATTTCTGGCAAAAAAGACTCTCCTGCTCCCAGTGAAGTTCGCAGTGGAGGTGATAGCGAAAAAATTGCTACTGGTGGCGGCTCTGCTATGGATCGAATTGCTTCAATGTTACCCTCACCACCTAGTGAAGGGGGTGATAGTAATAAAGATGATGACGATGATGATTGGGAATAATAGACAGTTGTGTTAACGTTTTTTCAACAACATTTTCCGTGCGCTTTTTTGATTCGATTACTTAATGATTCATTTAGACACACCCCTGGAATCTGGATCGATCATAGTACTTACAAAAGTATCGCCTACTGTATAAGTCTGTCTTGCAGCTAAGATATCACAGCTTTGCCCGTTATTATTCTGAAGTCTTTATAGTAGCGATTACTCTCCTATTTCATTACGAAAGAATATCAGGTTACGGAACTTGATTATGTCAGATGTACAGATCTTTATTGGAATACAGATGTTGTAATAGCGAATATATTTGACCAAAATTACGTTAAACATATTCAAATAGAAGAATTTACACAGATTTTTATCATTTTCTATTATAATTATTACATATGTAGTTCACGCGATCAAAGATTGGTTGTATTAATGGATAATGAAATAAAGTTGTCTTATCTAAGCTATTAATGATCAACTGAAGCTTTTCAAATTGGTAATTTAATGGAATACTTGTATCATGACAGTTTTCTTTAAGCGAAAGTTGATCCATTATGCAGGAATTATCATCAAAATTATCGATGTTGGTATTGATCCCTTTAACAAAGTATTTTTCATCATATTTCCAATTTCTTGTGCTAGTTAAAGCCAGGATCGTAATACCACACCTAAATACTTTGTTGAATAAGTTTACTTCAGTATAGGTGCTAAAATCAAATTCTTGTGATGAATCTTTATACAAGGTACACGCTGTTTCAAAAGAAGCAAAGGCTTGGTATAAATATTTTGAAATAATCATATCAGCTTCTGACGTCTGCTCTAGAGATTTTTTGTCGCTAGTTGTCCGTAAAGATACATTTTTTATCTTTACTTGATCTCTGCCATACCAACATACAGTGCATAATTGATAAGCCAACAAAGTTAACACCTCAATCTCATATGCTGGACGTTTCATCTCATCATCTTGAAAAAAAATAACTTGACGGCCAGTATCAGCGTCGCCATCCTCATTCTTCAAAGCCGCCTTACTTGGCTTCGGAGCATCAGTTAAGAGCAAATCAATTATTGTTATGAAGCAATGATACCAATCTAGCTCAGTCAATACGTTGATTAACTTCTTCAACCCTGCTGTAGTTTCTAAAATTATTTGCTGAGTACCATTGTGACCTATGTGAAACAGATATCCAGTAGAAATAGTCTTACTGTAATCATGTAGGCTGTTTTACTGGTAGGGTTTATGCAAGGTATATAAGTCCTCAATAAGAAAGAACTTAATATTAAACAATATCAGAAATTACAGTATGTTAGAAATGTACGTAATTTATTGTATCTATTCGACGAACCAGATAACTTGGCTAGTAACTTAGCAACACCATACGAATAATCGTCGCTTTCCATAGCAAGACATACAACAATTCTTATGATGTTGCTCCAATCATCTATCGTTAATAAATGGCAAAAAGTTAATTATTTAGATATCTAATCACTTGTAAAAAATATTCTTTGATTAGTACTCGTAATTTGCGACGACTTACCTTTACAATTATCAAACAAAATAATATCTGAATGATGAATAAGGATTTCAAGTGCTACTAATCGTAAGTCCGTATCCATATCGAGCGCATATTGGCATATTATATGAAAATATTCCTTTCTTAAATCAATTCTTTGTTTATCCTAAATATTGAGAAATTTTTGATTATGTAAAAGTTTAACGTATTGCAAATAGCTTTATCTTAAGATTTTTATATCGACAATTTGAAAAATGTTCACGTCAGCTGAGATCATTAAATCATTCATAATTGCGAAGCAAAGTACTTCATGTAGCAGTTGTGAAAAGCGACTATAAGATAAATATATATACTGTATACAGTATATATATGTATACATATACTGTATACAGTATATATATGTATACATATACTCATATATCTACTGGATTACTCATATACCTTAGTAGCCAATTGTAGAACGTCAGCAAACACACAATGTGTAAATTGAAGGACATTTGAACGAAGTCTAAAATCAAAAAGTAATGATGTAGATAATCTAAAGATCAACTGTTTTATTACCAATACATTCAATGACCTCGAAACAATTACTTATAGCTTACGTAATCTGTTTACTTTTATCCGTCAATATTTGAATCGACCTATGCCACATCTAAATCAGTTATTAGAGGCGGCGTATAATATGAAATTACAGGTTAGAATTAGTCTAATTCAGTTAATAAATAAATTTATGAATCCTAACAAGATTAAGGTATTGTTCACCTCCGATGATGTCAGAACACAGCGTTGGTTAAATTTTTTTATGCGATAAATCTCAAGTAAATTTCGAAAAATTTCATATACCTTTTATTTCGATGCAAAAAGTTAATATGATTTTGCACAAAAATAATGGCCAATCTTATAAAAAGCAAATAAAGATTTAGCTCCTATCTTATTTTAGTTTACCTCTGCTAAATATTTATCTGGAAAGTCGTCATTAAACGGAATGGAATAAAGGATGGATGTTATTTCTGTTATACTGTCACAATTATTTATAAAAGGTACTACGGTGTTATCTATATCTGATTCCTCTTTGATACTTTTCGATATCCAATAATTTAATGTTCGAAAAGATTGATATCTGACATCATCACTGGGGCTAAAAACAAGTTGTCGTAATAACGAACATTGTTTTTGAGAATCTGAATATTCTTGCGAGTCCATCATTATAATTAAAACTAAGGTCTCGACCATCTCATTCAACAGTAAAGGAAGTCCCGGTGTATAGGACGGCAAATTAATTCCTACATCTTCTGCTAGCATTTCATATAATGATAACTTAATTCCTATATAAAATGAAAGCGATGAGGTTACTACAGTAAGTTACTCGTATGTTATCCAAAATCTATTTAATGAAAAATAATACAAAACATCTTTCTGTGAAGATTAATAATAGCTCACCCTTATCTAAGCGATTTGTTTTAATGTAATAACGGTGCAATAAACGCAAAAATAAACGCCTTGTTACGGGACACTTATTCTCTCTAAAATAGCCAATGATTTCAATAAAATAAGGCTAAATAACAAATTGAGGGCCGTCTCATTTTGAAAACTTATTATAATGTCAAATTTTGGTAAACTGTTAAAACGATTAAGTTCCATCGCATTTCATATCAAATATCCATGCGTATCTAAAACTGTATCGCAATTAAAATAAAGCTTTAAGTGGTAATTACAGTGACAACCTACCTAGTACATATCCAAAGCCGTTGAGTAGCTTTTAAGGAAAAGACGTCTAGCAAATCTTCCTTGAAATTATTTCCCATCGGATGCGCACGAATATATGAAGCTAGCAAGCTCTCAATCTACGTGCAATATCACAAAATATGATTTTGTACCTGTTTTATAATCCATTATATTCTAAATAAAATTAAATATCTATCAACTAGTAAGTACTACTCTATTATTGATCTAGAATGTCTTCCCTCAATTAATTTTTAATACTAAAATCTGATCATCTAAATATCATACTCCATGCTATAGCTTCAAAAAAAAATGGAGAAATAAAACTTGAGTAAAGTACTGTTTTGCACTCCTACTTGGCAAAAAACAAAAATTTCTACGAATCGAAAAAGTAATTGTAGTTTACAGCATATTATTGACATATCGAAATACAGTATTATTTCCGTACCATATACGTAGCTACAATTTCTAAGTATACTACAACATAAAAGTAACAATTTATCAAATGATACCTGTAGTAGTACGCCATGCATAAAATTTTGTGACAGATGGCTAAAGAGTGACAAAATACAATATTTATTTAACAGAAATAAATTCATATCTATTTTAGGGTAACGAATAAACCCTACAAAACTGCTACGGTATACCAACTTCAGTTTATTCATAGGTAATTTCTCCAATAATTCTTCAATATTCTGAGTAATCCTACTAGTTTCGATAAGCGGAGCAATCGCTTTAGCAGCAAGTAATCGGCATCGCAATATGACGCTGTGTGCACATCTAGAATCAAATATGGGCACATTAATCAAACAAATAGTTTGTTGACCGAAATACTATAACACTTTCAAATATCAGCGGTAGATAGTTGGCGAAGAAGAATTGTATTATAATAGCTAATTAGTTGCAAATTAACTAGATGTAACCAAGATCAGTATTATCTAATGCTTCGCCAATAGATTGCATTATTGAAGTTAATCTTAATACCGATTTAGAGAACATAATTTGTATTATAGTCTTTTCTCACTTTTTAATAAAAGGCAAAAATTTGCTTAAGTTCATCACATTCGCTGTGCCATCCATTGTCGAAGGGTATAATTTCGATAGTAAGAGTAGAATAGGAAATAATGTTGGATTATGAACTGGTAGCCTGTACAGAATATAAAAACTATGATAAGATTATGATATCACTGTATATCAATATGCATTCATACATCCCTAGTTTCATCATGAATTTTGAATACCCTTAGAATATATACAGTATTTACTCATCAATTTTGTCGGTAGCATCCTGGATATGTTCCAATAGTAACTGATACAATTTTGGATATCTTGAAAAGAATTCCCGTCCCGTCATACTATATGAATCAAGAACAGCTACTCATTAAAACTTCATAAAATTCATATTTTGAGAAATGGCTAGTGATTTAAACAATTATAATCAGGCCGATAATTAATATTATTCAACTCGATATCCTAAAATTGTTATGTAGATACCAATTTTTTTTTGATTGCTCATCACGATCCTTTTTAACGCCAAATATCCGATTCATAAGGGCACTAAATAGCAGAGTTGCTGCGTTGCGTATCTATGTAAGCCCGTTATTACATCATGAATTGTAATTATTTGTAATAAAATCTTGATTAAAGATTAGTTATATACTGTATAGTACAAGTTACAGAAAATTGATTACCTGCCAGTTATTCGCTGCCATGCCTTTAATCGCAGCCTGTACTCCATCTGGGACAAATACATGAACATCATCTCCAAAATGAGTATCCCGATAGATGGATCGCATAATATTAAAAGCATGAATCTATAACACGTATGCACATTAATTATAGTAAAATTGTATGTTCTTTTCAGGTTATTTGTAAAGCAATTCTAACTCGAAGTCTAGCAAATATTCGACCAACAGTCAAGCAAATAAATAATTTTACCGTAGCATCTCTTGTATTCTCGTCATCCGAATAATCACTTTTAAAAGCAATTTCGTGCAATTCTACCATAAATATTTAATATTCTGATTTCACTTTTCAGTATATATAAATGAGGTTAAAATTTGTTTATACAAGTGATTACCAGTCATCATTAATTTAAAGCATCTCTTTTGTGCCGATGCAGGCTCGGTAGTTAAAATAGCCTAAAAGTATCCAAGTTACAGAATTAATGGATGATTTAGAGTTATTTTAAAATAGCTAATTTAAATTAACTCACTTTGATAAAAAATGGTAGTCCTGCACTACGTCGAGTAGAACATAAATCTTTCGAAAGATTGCATGTGTTTAAATCTTTCAATAATTCATCAATCCATAATGATGGTGACAATTTGAAGGAGCGACAACTTTATGGATATTATCAACAAACGGAATACATATTAATCATCGATAGTTATGAAATCGTAGCTTAACACGTTCACAATTACTATTTTACTTACGTCCATAACATATCACAATAGCTTACAAAGCCATTATAGCACAATTCAAATACGCCAACATGTTTAACGATACATAGTTGAGCTTTAAGAAATTCTCCTATTTTTTTAGCCTATGAATAGTCCATATCAAAAACATACAAGAAATTACTGTACAGTATAACAATACTATTCATCGATACATAAAATACCGGTACTTAGTATTTATATCAAAGTGATTACTTACGAATTTGCGTGTGTAACTAATGTCTCTTATTCATTAAAAATACAGATTAGTTATACGTACTTGTTCGGGTGATATTTCTAGACGTAATTGATGTTCCATTGAATATCGCGATAACTGGCTAATGCTGCCTAAAATTAAAAAAACTTCCTTCATACTTCTCCAACAGTAACTAGCCAATACTTGAGGCGTAATTATTTCTTTATAGCTTTCATTTTCCGAGAGTGATACAGGTGATGCTTGTAAATTATCTAAAGCAATACGTTATATTATATTAGCTAAGTAATACTTTATTACTGGAACTGCTATTATTAGTTGTATTACCATCCTCAATTAGTAATTCTACTGGCAAATAGCCCTCCGGAGAAGTATGAGCTACGAATGGAGTAACAATATCGGAAAGATTGTAGCAGTTGTCTAATATGCTAGTAAGAATTTCACGCCAAATAGATAAATAATTTCCTGTCATCCTAAGAATGGTAATAGTACATAAAATTTGGCATTAATTTACAATTATTGCCAATGTTAATACACGGCTGATATTTGTTTGCAGCAGTAGAAGATCTGTAGCAATAATGACGAACCCGCCGGTTAAGTTTTTAAGACAACAGCGTATACAGTGAAGATAGCCATGGATAGCGGATTTGGTGACAGCTTGTAGAAGATTACTTTTAGCTACTTTTAAGCAATCTTTGATCCATGCAACAAATTGCTTAATAGTAAACAATGTTGCGATAATTCTTTGGTCTTCTTCTCTTACTGAATCAGTATGATCATAATATTCCAGGGCTAAATTAAATTTACATTTAGTCGAGTATCGATTTAGCAATAGTAGTAATAAGTAGCCGGCAGCCGTATGATTAGCTGGTTTGAAACTTTTGGCTAAATTGATGATTTTATTGGAAAGCGCTTGAATCCTCCTTTGGTCCTGTAAAATACAGTAAAGTAGCATCATATTAAAAGACCAAGAAGCGGATGCATACATGTAAATCTATTATGTCGATAAAGATGAGAAACATACAGCCCCTTACCGTTAATCCTAAATCATCAACTGGCAAAGTCATCAATATTTTGTATGCAGCTTGCTTAACAATTTCATAAGTATCAGTTAGACTATCTAGCAAAATTTCAGTTTCTTCCAAAGTAATTATTAAGGGGTTAAAGGTTTTGCAATCTCGTCCAATGTCTATATCCATTTTGGTGTCAACAAAAATACGTTAATTTTACTTCGTCTGACAGTATCTGGATAAGATGGAAGTAAATACATACCTTTAGTATTCAAGATTTCTACAATTATTTGTAATAAAGCGATCGCCGTAGATCGACGAATGATGCTAGCTGTCGGATATAGAGACGTAATACAGAACTTCCATAACCAATTTAAAAATACCTGAAGCAAAATAAATTTAATAAGGATTAAAGAAGTCGAAGTAGAGTTATCATTAAGTTATATAAACCTTATAATGGTTTAATTTCCGTTCAAGTTGAGATTTAATATTGTCATTTTTGGAGCTTAACTGTTGCATAATCATAGTCCGTGCGCTTTCTTTAAGTCTTACTATAAGCTTTTAAACGTTAAGAATAGCAGGTGGTTCATTTACGAAATAATAATTATTGAAGGATTTTTCTTAAACCAACTTTGATCAGACAAAACTAATATCGGCAATATCGGATGTAAACACTAACAGTTTTCTTGTTTTACCTTTTTGCTAGAAGCTATGAATCTCTGCCGAAACGAAGTGCTATCAGCTTCAAAATTGTGTGTCACAAATGTAAGAATTAATTCCAGATCCGTTGCTTGAATTTCTTCACAGGTTTTACGAGATTCACATAGTAGAACAAAGGTATCCAAACGGATCTTATGAAATAAAATATGAAGTAGTTTAAATCAATCTTGATATTGTATGACCTAGAATTAAGCTAGTCATATTTCTTAGGATTTTACCTGGGAATCACTGTGGTGTAAAGCCTTCCATATTATACCGATATCAATTAAATCTTTCCACAGAGCGTTATCATAATTAGCATCACCATGCAATACTTCTTCAGTGCGCCTTTTGCTAGCTGTTTCAGACATATGGGCGACGTTTAAGGTTTTTATGAGTCCTCTATACATATAACTGTCAGGGCCTATAGAAAATTATGCAAAATTCATGTCAAAATAATAAAAGAAAAAAAATCACTAATCTTTCACGAGATTTTAAACTATTACATGATCATACTTGTATCGATTTGTTGGTTAAAAATTAATAAGACCGACTGCAAACTTTCTGGTACTTTATTTATCAGTCTTGGAATAGCTTGCTAAATGATAAGAATGCTTAGCAATATCCAAATCCAATCGTTACACTTATTTCTTTGCGTAAAACGTAGACCCTAGATTTAATCATCACATTTCAAATTATTCGACCTACATCGATAATCACTCTTTTAATATTTGTATCATTGCTTTGGAGAAGAGACATTATAGGTTCCAGCCAAATCTACGAAATTTCATGTTAAAATTAAAAAATCGAATGTTATTAAGCCCACTAATACATATTTAATGATATGTTGATTTGATGATAATAGAAAGAAAGACGTACGGTATGTAATTTTGTTAAATATATTGGAAGGTGCGTTGATTTATATTCACTTTTCCACGAAGTTAATAGTTTATCAAGAAAAGTTCCAGCCTATCGTAACGAATAGTAGTTAGTTTTTGGCTAGGAAAGCATAAAACGTTACACGTATAAGCTAAACTTACATGAGACGTAATGCTGGCATCAATCATAGCTTGCACAACGTCACTTAACAAAGATGGCTGTAATAATAGTAACTTTGAAGCAGGTAAATAATTCAATAGTGAGGATAAAATATCATATTTTCCACGTCGAAACCAGTTTTGTTCTAGAACTGAGTGTGTTAGCTGGAGCAAGAAAGTATCCTCTTTTATATCTAAGAAACAGTAGTTCAAATTATTGATTTAACCGCTTTCATAAGTACTCTATGTTATAAGATGAGATACTAATTACAGTTTAAGCCCTCTGGAGTTATCTAATCTACATAATGACGGCGATATTAGCAATACTAAGCACAACTTTAACATTAACCCAACATCATACCTGAAACAAGCATTGTGGTATGGATATCTAGAATGCTACAAAACAGTTGTTTCATTTGATGTCGAACACCCTATTAGTATGAACCATTTCGTAAAACTATAAGTAATTTAGAATAAAAATTATACACTTCTAGCCTCTAATTAGCATGCTAATAAATGGCCTATAGAAATAATAGCCAATACAAGGCTAGCTACATAATATTGGAGATTAACGCATCCTTCTATCAAACAAAATTTTAAAAATTTTGTTTACAATCTTTTTCGACTAAAAATAACTAGATTTTTAAACTTTCACATCAAAGATCATTCTATATAGGTTGTAAGTTCAATAATTACTTCAACTGGATGATCCCAATTGTCCCAGATTCTCCCTAGTAAATTTTGTATAATTTTTCCGTCTGAACGGAGTACTTCTTTCCAGTTTAAGTTATCGCCTCGACCCATGATACTCCTTACAAAGAAATTACAAAAGCAGCCTCCTCTTAGGCGATGATACTTGGCTAATTCGAGAATTTATAAGTAATTATATAATACTACAACATCATAGATTCTTAGTCAAGGAACCTCATCTTAACAGCCCACATCACCATTGTCCGATAACAAAAGACATCCAAAGCTGAAGATTTGATACTGTACAAGTCGATTTGAAAATCAAGATAGAGTTAATATCGAGATTAACAAACAAAATTTCAGATATTAAGCAAACGGTGGTTATAATTAAGCTAATTAAAAATATTGTTATTAAATCTTGGGTCGTAGGACTAGCATGAAATTACCAGTAGCTTATTTCAATCAATCTAGCAATAATACCACCCATTATTGATTTTTGATTATATTTCTAAAAAATAAATACGATAACTTACAATACAGTACTACGATTATAAAGATAACAGTAATAAAAAGAAAATACTACGCCTAAAGTCATAGAGTTAAAAATCGATAATTAACATGAAATAAATGCTTTACTTCTTCAGCCTTGACTATATCATCAATATTCAACATCGCTAACAACCCATGATAAAGGTAGAGAGATGCAGCTTCATCATTATGATCCTCTTTAAAAGCAAAAAATAATTACCACTATTACAAATCACGATACGTTATCAGAAGTTTTGATGTGACGTGTTATGTTCGAAATACTACCTTGGGATTGAACCTTGGGCAACTCTTCCGATAGTAAATCAGTATTCTTAAATCGATTTCGGAACAATATGTCTCTTACCTAGAATTGATATTAGCAAAACATTATTTAAATTGCTAAAGTAAGTTATTATATCAGATATAAGTATAGCTTGATATTTCTATTACAGATATTTATCCTTCTAACCTTCATCACTAGCGAGTCTTGGTTATAAATAAGCTTTAATACTAAAAAGATTGCCATGCCAGCAGAAGTTCGAGAATCATGTAGGTAGCAATCTGAATTTCAGCAAGTCATATAAGGTTAAAAACTTTAGTGTGTTAATGATGGTATTACTCAGTACAATATAATAGTAAACTCACCACAACAAAAAATCGAGTTTGAATAGGTCAAGAGTGTTTTATAGAGAGTGAGCCATTCGTGTTGATCGTTGACTAGACTGAAATTTTCATTACTTACAACTTGGCCTAGTTTTAATCCAATCTTATGGAGTACGGCTATAACAACTTTAATAATGGAGAAGCAATCTTTATCAAAGTAGGGCTCCTGAGTTGACCTTAGTTTTCATATGACAGCGGGATATTTGATAAAAAGAGGGAATTAATAATAAATTGATCTTACCTATGTATATGTATATGTACATTGTAACAACGTGCTAGTACTATTATGGCAAATTTCATCATCCAATCATAGTTACAATATTAATATTTGTGAGTAGGAACAGATAAGATACATAACTTTTAAAGTACATCTATTTATTTACCATGATTCCGTTGGTTTCATGCAACTACCCAAACAGGTTGTTAGAAATTCTACAACTACAATAATATCCAAAAATTTTTGCAATTGTAAAAATTAAGCAATCAGCCTTATCAGAATGATAACGCAACCTAATTACCCTATTACAGGATTACCTAGCAGAGAGTTTTTTTCTAAACATTTTTGACCTATTTAATCATATTATATCGAAAATTAAAATAATTTAAAGATGTCTACCAATGGTGAATATGTATAAAAAAGCGGAGCTACTTTCGATAACTAGATCTATATTTTGTTACATTTATGCGTGATATTCTACAGCCATACGACTAGCTATCCAATTACCTAGCTTGAAATTTTCTAGTAATGACATGATTTTCTCAAGATATCTGCCAATGTCATCCACAGTTACCTAAGTCATAAGAAGATAAATACGCGTATAAACATACTGTCAACGAAAGACACTATCACTATCAGTGAAGAAATCACTATCTAATAATACCAATTATGAATATGCATGAAAGATGTAGCAAAGCCTTATTCAATTAATAACTATTTATCATAAGTATATTTGATACCTTACGATGTAGCAATAATGTCTTCCCATTTGCTATATCTTCCTGTAAAATATTTTCCAGAGAAATAAGCACTGCAGTCTCGAAAAGCGATGGTACCTTTTGAAATGCACTAGATTTTAAAATGAAAAAGCATTACATATACGTTAACTAAAGGAGTTATGTACACTACTACTAACTACAAACAGCTGCAAATTGATTTATGTGCACATTCGATTCTGACCTGGTAAAAGAGCGTTGCAATGGTGTACGACAAGGCGTTTGACTGTGCAACTGTGCTAAAGCTAATAGACAGCTTTGTAATTGCTCCTCTTCCCAGCTTGCATTAGCAGTAAAGCTCTTTAATAAATTGCCAAGCTATTTAACAAAAGACAATGAATGTGTGTACTTCAAGAAAATATTGCTATAATCACACTTAAAGCAAATTTAAATTACTATTTTATATATAAGAATGCACTTGTAGTGGGTAGCGAAAGGATAATTCAAACTGATTTCAATTACTATAATAACCTTCCTAACGAGGTTTAATTGCAATAAAGTTTCTTCTGTAGTTGCACATTCCAAAATAGGTTCAATGAGTGCTAAATGTTGATCAGATTCGATATGGGCTAAATATGTCGAAGGATATCATAAGTAATTGGTTGCAATCATTCATTTTTTATGTACCGCAATTTAAAGCTCATAGTTATACTATAACATTTTATCTTGACTAAAATAGCAAGTAACAATTGAAGTACTTAATCTATGTTATTCAAATAGAACCTAATCGATTGTAAAATACTATCATGTATCTCTAAGCTTTAGCTTTAATTTGGATTTCAACACTACCTAAGAGCTCAATATGATGCGTTGCTATATTAAGTTGACTAAGTATAGCTCGTTTGCATCTATAGTATTGTATACTACAGTAGGTGAATGTAGTTTTACGCGCAATTTGCAAGCATTAGTGAGATAAAAATTACTCCGTGTTAACTAATATGATAGCACCAAATAGCATGAATAAAATAAATGTTTTAGTTTAATGGCAGATGCTATTACATTACCTGACAACTGCTGGACAAGTCGTTGTTGTAAGGTCAATTTCATTGCTTAATAATATTGTATTAGTCATTAACCAAGATTATGGACCATAGAGCTGGTGAAATTATTTCTCTACTTTATCCAAGAAAAGCTTGAGGATGGCTCTTCTTGTAGCGTAAGATCAGTGCAATAAACTTTATATTGGTTTGCTTCGGTTATGATCTTGTAGAGAAAATCAAGCATGAGCATGAGTAGAAATAGATGCTATGAGAGGAAGAGCTTACAGATGTCGATCTTGCAGAGTTTTATTATTCATTTGGAGTGTAATTAGACTAATGAATTCAATAGAAGTAGGTCGTGATAGACAGCAGAAAAACTCACCTATCCTCGTACTGTACAGTATACAATACTCTACCAGTCAAGTTTAGGTACTAGTTTACTATACCATAGAAATGGAAATACTCGTATATCAATACGATAGGACTTTTAGCAAGAATTAGCCCTGGCTGGTAAAGGAAGAATTTACTAATGGCTACGCTTGCAGAACTTAGGTCTTCATATAAAGGTGTAGTTATCGAACGAATTTGGTAGAAATAGGTACTGATTGAAACACCCTGCCAGTAGAGTTTAGTTACGAGTTTACTATACCATAAAAATGTCAATTCTCGTCAAGTACGAGTTGTAGCAGAAATAAGCACTGGTTGGTTGAGAAAGACTTTACTAATGGTTGCCCTTGCAGAGCTTAAGTATTTCAATAGAAGCGTAATAAATTGATGAATTTTAAGCCAGAAGTTCATATTCATGATATTCCCTATCACTAGTTATAGCCAGTAAGCGAATGAAATGGATATTCTGCGTAACGAAGAACTTGCATAGAGTAAAATCGATAGAATGAATGGCTCAAGATTTTAAATTTTGCACCTTAGCGAAAGCCTTCCAGCGAATGAAATATTGTTAAGTAAAGAAAATTTGTCGAATCTATACTTAATTTTCATTACCTTTTAGTCTGTGCGATGAAGCTGCCGATTTAACCCTGATGTAAGAGCCAACAGACGGAACAGAGCAAAATTATACGAGTAGTTTCTTTACCAAGCTCGACTATGCTGACTGTTGTAGTTTTGCCAATACCTCGATCAGCTTCTATTTTTTACCTTGATTTTTTACTCTAGGTTTGCAAAGTCTAATAGTCAACAATAAAGGTTTACCTACATCAATTACTATCATGGAAGCTTCTCTGTAAACGATTTAATCCATTTAAAGACAGAATTCTATTTCTCCATTTTATTGCTGACGAACAGCGCGTTGAATTTTCTTTGAGCTTAACTGCAATGGCCGGAATGAATGACTTGACTGCCGTCGGGTGACACTCTTGAAGGGTTGAAGAATGTAGGCAGAGTGAAGCGCTTGTGTGGTTTGACGCGGCTGTAGTAGTCTAGACGATGATTGGAGGATTGAGAGGCGACAGATCATTTTGCACACACCGTTCCATCATTTTATACTGTATAGTACATAGAAAGAGGATACTGTGCAAAACGTCTTGTCATTGTTAGCAAATGGGTCAAGACACTACCAGAACTGCCCCGTGGTAGCGTCATAAATAGAAATCGACCATCGGAATACATTCAAACTGTTTCATCTATTCAGTCATACTAAAGGCTGTACTCGCCACTCTACTTGGCGACAGTATACTATTGGACCATGCAGCACATCATCAGGTCCAGCTGACTGTGCTGCAGCCTGCAGATTGCGTCCATCCATTGCAGAAGAGATTTTACACTTGATGCTCGATTGGCTGGATTCATTTATCCACAGATGGGTCGAAATTGGAAGAAAAAACGATCTACAAGAGTAGGCGATATTCGTAAGCAATTATCAAAGAGTGAAAAAAAGCATCTGTATGAATTTGGAGAATTGCATCCAGCGGTAGAGGAGTACGTCAATATTATGCGTCAAGTTTTGCTTATATCTAGCTTACCGTCCATGGAGATCGAATAGCTAGAAATGCATGATTACAATGATCTTACTCAGCACTTTATTGATTACCTAGTCTACTGTTGATCCGTGTAATAATGCTAGCAATAATATCAATCATAATGCTTAAAAGTGTTGCAATAGGATCAAGATTTTTCGATCGTTTCTATATTAACATTGATCAAACTTGTAAAATATATATCAACGATACTGATGAGGTGCGACATCGGCTGCACGATCTATGTATGTACCTGAATATGAATGCAAACATCAAGCGCCCGCAATACAGTATATTGGTTGATTAATTAACTTGGCATTGGGCTGAAATGGATCATATCGTAAACCGATAGACCTAAATGAATAACATCTACATAATCTACTTGATTGAATTTTTATTAAACTACTTACTCACGATGAATTGATTATTATTGCTTGAGTAGACAATAATAGTTACCATAATAGTTATGATTAATTATATTATTTTATCTAAAATAGTTCCATGTTCATGTCAATTTCAGTCAATATCTTGTTATAGGAATAGCTCATCAATAACTTTAAACTTTGATCGTCACAAACTCTTGGCAATTATAAGTTTCCTATAACTTGCCCTATTTCTCCATAGCTTCTACAAAGATAAATTTATTAATCGCTAACTTGCGTAGCGGATTGATTGGATCATACACTTATTTCGATATTCTTAATGTGGATAGAAAATTAAAAGGCAAGACCAATAAGCTGCCTGATAAAGCGAGAATCTCCTCCTTGAAAAAATCGACTAATCAACATGGAACATCTATTGATGAGCTTACATCAACGGTAGGTACTTCTATAATTGTTTACTAGCTGTCAATTATTATTCTATAATGAATCTATGCGGAAAATAAACATTGAGGTTATTGAATAACTAATTTCCTACACAAATAGGTGAAGCGACCATCAGTACAGAAACTAACTTATGCACAAGATCTGGTAATGATACAAGTGGCACTATTATCTGACCTTTGCATCAATCTAAGAATTCTTGGATTGTATTTAGGTTTCCAATACAAGTTCAGACTCTGAAGATAATGACAAATATCGAAAGCTGATTTCTTCATTGGATTCACGCCATGATTTGAAAAGAAAACGACATTCTAATAAAAGTAAAATAACGATCTCATTTTTAATTTACTGAGTATTCGTATTGTTGATACAACTACCATACATCGATAATTTTTATAATAGTCCGTAAACCTACTAAGAAAAAGAATAAAGAAGATATCCAGCAGCAGGTTAAGTTGCGACGTTGATAATACTGACCTCATCTGCTGTATCTGTAAGTATAACCTATTAACTGTCGAGAGGCCTCCGTACTTGATAACTTTATAGGAATATGCGAATAAAGAAATGAACGAAGAAACTATAGAACAACAAGCCGAAAGTGTACTATTTTGTCTTTATTAATAAGCTATTAATTACATATATATATATAAATTTATTTTCCTCTTTTTATTCAGTTTTATGGCGATGATGATGCTGCAGATAAGCATACAGCAACTACGATGAGCCCAACCTATAGTGATACTTCCGCCGAAAATAATAATGATAGTGATGATTTGAATGAAGAAGAAGCTGAGTTATCTGAAGATGATGAGCCTGGTGACTCAGTTGTAAATATAAACGAAAGCGATACAGATGAAGACTCAACCCCTACATTAACCGAAGGTTAAATAATCTTGATATTTTACTATTTCATACCAACAGCTTCATTAAATCTTTAATGCCCGTATATCATCAATTCAGAAATGCTGCAGTACTGGAAAAAAGTAGATAAATATCCACTCTTACTATTACTGAGTTAGCTCAACGTAGCATTCCATTAATTCACTGAATAGATCCTTTTAAGGTGCATTTTGATCAGCAATTAACAAGCGATGACATTGACAGACTAAAAAATGGTAGCCAAAATAATTTGCAGCAATCTTTTAAGGTAGAATTTTATTATTGGATGCATTAGTAGTCAATAAATAAATGAATTGTGCCTGAAAACATTAATTTTAAATACGTGTAGGATGAATGGCTTGATGATGTTACATATTATCCAACTCCTGTTTCAATATCAACAATTTCCCTACCTACCAGTGGCGTTTCAGACAGTCTACAGCAATTGCACGTAAGTGTGATAGTAAATGATAATTTTTACTATTGGAAAAGTCTAATGATTTTGTAAATAGGTTAAGCAAAGGCTAATTAACCAGTGGAATACCGTAAACAAGAAATGTGTATCACCCAGCCGTAAGTACAATATAAAATAAGCTATTATCTTAATACAAAAAGGAATAGTAAAATTTAGCTATACTGTTTGCCTTAGGTGTATTTTCTCCTCTTCAAGAGAGATTATTCAATTTGTTATCTACGTATCGGGTAACTATAAATATAGAAGTCTTAGATCATGAAAATTTAGTTTCCAAAACCAGTAGATATAAAAGCAACGACGTAATAAATTGTATTAATTAATTATATGCAGGATGTGCTGTATACAAAAAGAGCATTTAATAATGCTGATCAAATCAGAAATATATATTGTTTACATGCTTTAAATCATGTATTGAAGTAAGTGGATTAGTCAACTGATTGTAGCATTCTTTTAAGCTATTATAATTCGTTTCTTATCAAATAATTACATTATAGGATACGTCATTCAGTACTTAAAAATAATTCTAAAATTATTCAAGCTCAAAAGGAGAACAGAGAAGTAGCGTAAGTTTTTAACATTAGTATTAGATTAAATCTGTTATTAGTAGCAATGAAAAGTTCACCAATTTTCATACCTCAAATATTTTTCGCTTTTTATTTGTGTGAAGAGAACTTCGCGATCAGGGTTTTACTCGTCCTAAGGTGCTCATAGTAGTACCGTTCCGTGAATCTGCAAGGAAAGTTGTGGAAACTTGCAACCATCTGTTACTAGCTCCTGACGAAGTGAGCAACAGCTAACTTTTTTATTAGATAAACAAATTCAGTAGTGTTTAAGTATATATTGTTATTGAATTAATAGGGTCAAATCAATTATAAAAAGCGATTTCAAAGCGAGTACGCAGGAGATGAAGAAAAGCGGAATGTTGTCAGACCAGGTCTCTTACCTACAAAGCTAAAACTATAATGCTTAATGTGCAACGAAGCAATAACTTTATCGTGCTTCGCCGCTTAACAAAATTTCCAATATTACTTATTCAGATGATTATTGGCAGCTTTTTGCGGGTAATACGGATGATCATTTTCGAATTGGCATCAACATCACTCGCAAAGTCATTAAACTTTATGCACCGTTTTATAATTCTGATATCATTGTTGCCTCACCCCTTGGTCTTCGGACAATCATTGGCGCTGACGGGTAATAATGCTGTTTTAGTCTTGATATACCTTAAATTTTAGTTCTAACATATACGTAGTCCAGTGACCTTAAAAATTGCTATCTGTTTATGAATAGGGATAAGAACCGTGACTATGATTTCTTGTCATCTATTGATATTGTTATTGTTGATCAAGTGGATGTATTGCTAATGCAAAACTGGGATCACGTCTCGGTAAACTACAGTAATACAAACATATCCATAATACTTGTGTTGTATTCTTGAAATTTTACTTATTGTTAAATGACAAAATTCTATAATCTATGTAATCTTCTTTTCGAATATGAAGCATCTATTCAAGCACTTAAATCTACAACCAGCTGAATCTCACGATACGGATTTCAGTAGAGTAAGAATGTGGACCCTAGATGGGTGGTAATGCAAAAATAATGATAATGACATTTCTTATTTAGCGGAACTACAGACATTTCGTTATTTAAATATTTGCTCGATTAAAATGATTATTCTCCCTAGGTCAGCTTATTATAGGCAAAACCTCTTTTTCTCCTCATTTAATACCGTAGAAATTCAAGCGGCTTTCAATCGAACCTTTTTAAATATCTAATAATGCAATGCTATTTATCATAATTCTCCATTACATACTTTGTTTGGACATAACATTTTTATCTTTATTTGAATATTTATGCGTATTTAAAAGATATACTTTACTAATTATGATTATGATTGCTGATTTAAGTTATCTCTACTTCGAAAGTGTATACAAAAGCCTTGAGTTTACTATTCCTTGACTATCTTACATTATAACGGTAAAGTAAAATGCAGTGTTGTTGATAGCGTCGATGGTAGCATATGCCAAGTAGGTCTTCGAGTTCCTCAGGTAAGATTATTGAACTATTTAATAATTATAATTAGACCATGTCTAAATATAACTAGAGAAGTTTATCTTTAATTGAAAAAGAGCTACGTTCAATTTTTAGATATTCCACAAAATCGATTGCGCAACTGTTAATGACGTTTCAAATAGAAAGTTTGAATTTTTTAAAGCTGAGGTTAAACATAATATTTACTACTATAAGTACAAATCCAGGCACATTAAATATGGGTAATCGTACAGTAGTAATATTACCTCATACGGTGTACTAATATTTTTATTTTCTACATTTTTTTCAACAAGATTCTGCCACAATATCGCACAGATCAATGTAGGACATTAATCTTTGTTCCTTCCTATTTCGATTTTGTTCGAATAAGAAATTGTCTAAAGAAAGAAGAGATCAAGTTTGATTGCATTTCTGAGTAAGAATTGTTAAGTAGCAAAAACAGAAAGTTCAATGCAATCTGAGAATAAAAATAAACAAGTTGATACGACTGATAATATATTTTAGGTCTACCAATTCTTCGCGAATCTCACGTATTAGGGCATATTTTACCGACAATAAGATTAGTATCTTGTTATATACTGAAAGATTTCATTTCTTCAGAAGGTAATATTGTAAGGTCAACTGATATTTGTATTTGCCATCTCTTCATATCTGCATAAATATGCTGATTAATAAACATTAAAATGTAAATCACTAAAACTAATGTAATGTTTATTTGCAATAGGTATAAAATCCGAGGAATCAGACATGTCATCTTTTATGGATTACCAATGTATGCAGTCTTTTATCCAGAAATAATAAACATGATTGAAACTGATAGTAGTCAATTAAAATCAGCCAGTATTCCAGGAACTACATGTACAGTTTTATATACAAAGTACGATATATATCAATTGAATCGGATTGTTGGTACGGAAAGATGTCGGCAACTACTGACATCAAGTAAAAAAACGCATTTATTTACAAATTGATATTAGTAATATTGGTAGAAACATAATCAAAAATTGTCATAACTGACATTTTAATAGCACAAAATTGACAAATCAGCTATTGCTATTACTGGTTGTTTTTATATACTCGTATGTATATTGCTTCCAAATAAATATCCTCTATGAACTTTACATTGTGGTCAATATCTGCTAAACAAGGCACTGGGATGGGTAAAAACTGCTATAATGAAAGATTGTAATACGCTATAATATACGAATTGCCGTGTTAGGGGTCCTATTCAGATAAGCTACCCGTATAACAATTATAACCGTTGAGAATATTTACCGGAGTATTATTTACTGTTTACTACTGGCTATATTATTGATAACAGATTATGACATAAATTATGCCGACCGCTGAGGGAAATTTTCCTTCATTTAATTATAGGTGTGCAAAGGTTTTATTGTTTCAAATAACTATACAATTGTATTATGTACTCCCGTGGTATGCTTTTTATTGGAAAAGCTAGTAAGCTCTTGAGATTCTGGATGCCGCATACAGTACAAATGCAATAATCTTGTCTGTAATCTTAATCTTAACTAATGGCAGTATCTGTTAGGACGGCTTACATTAAGATAATTATAAACATATTTATTGCGTTTTGTGGCAGAATTAAACTTTCTGTAGTAATCATACAATTAAGACATAATAACCTGGACCTCCAGCTGATTCTTAATGTCGTAAAAAGTAATGATTTATTTCAAGCAAAGTTCAGCTGTCAAAGTATAAAATGACATGCTTATGATATTAGGGTGGATATTCTTGTAGCAAAATTACAGACATCGTTCGTATTATTTATTGACTGTGAGATGGGAGATATAAACATATATGTATAAATATACGCATTTAGAGGTTAGTATACTCCAGTTTAACGTATAAAGGAACAGATAATTTTAAATACAGTGCTATCACTAAACAAATGTACACAATACAATCCTAGCCAACATCAATCAAAACACTCCTACAGGCACTGCATAAGTTACCAGAATTATTGCATGTTTAGGAATATGTAATGATCAAATTTAGTGGCATAATCAGATGATAATCAAATTAGTAATACATGTATAACTAATTCTAGTTCATCTGTAGGTTACGATACAAGATTTCGCTTCATTTCCACAAAAAATAGTTTTGTTATAATGAGAGTATATTCTACTATTTTACATTGATCAATGTGTAAGTCGCCTATTTTTTTTACAACTTTTGTATTGCAAATTGAGGACAGAAGCACTGTAACTTTGGTAATCATACGGCGATAAAAGGTCTAACTATTTTATTTAAAGTTCGGTAGTAAAGGAGCGAAAAACTTCTAATGCTTCCTTTAGTACTTTCCTATATGTAAGCAAAGAGAAAATATGGGTATTAGCGATTTAATTTCCGGGACTTTCAGTTCGGCATAACAAAGTATATCCATATTCTTTATATACTGTGCAGTCATAACGCAACATTAAGTAATTATTGGCTAATGTCGCTACAAACGGTATCATAAAAGTAATATACTTGATACGGCAATATTGAGGACTACAGTAAATTAATCTTAACATGTAGTCAATCTGATTAGGCTGCTCACTACTCCATTGGATAAATGGCCATGCGTGGATGACAGTAATTCAGTCATGACAATTGAAATTTTTCCAGATGTAAACTAATATTCTATACCTTCTTTCCTTCATCATATGATTACTGCTGTCCAATTCAGCATTTAAATCATCTATTTTCCTATCAATGGCTGCAACTGACTTTAACTTTTGCCTAAATTCTTCAAATTTGCCAAATAAATCGGTGACCTACGTTGGAGAGGATAGGTAAGGATGGTTGACATTATTGAAATCGCTGTTGCGTCGTAGTTATCGTCACGAACAAGCAAACTTGATTTTAATTACATTGATTTGGCACGAAACTATTATCATTCTATTCTGCATTATCCTATCTACCATAAGTCTGCTACTGTATCATAAAATGCTATACTGTACATTATATATTGTATTAATATTTTAAAAAAGTTGTTTGTGTTTCAAAAGGAGACCTTTTTCTTGATCTCGTCAGTATCTTCACCATTTTCAATGGCTTTATAAATGCTGCAGATATCTTTAAAATATTGGAATTTATCTTCCGATAGCATTTCCACTTTGTTTATACTGGCCATCATTTTGAACTTGGAAGTAGTTAATAATTATTTATTTCTATGCATGTTATGGAGGCCAAAAAGAGGAGAATGGAGAGAGCTTGAGAATGTTTTTAGTTGAGGGAATTTGCAATCGGTTGCCGGTCTACATACAGTAAGGCTAGTAAAAAGGCTTGCAGAGCTGTACTATACGTTCAGTACTGTACCGTTACACAGTACAGTATTGAACTATTTGGCCAACTACAGTACTTTATATTGTAGACTACAATCACTGCACTGTACTAGGTCCCGGTCCGGTCTAGTCCCGTTAACTGTACTGTACTTTACAGTGTACAGTGTACAGTATACTGAATACTTTACCGTAGAGTGCAGTGTAAAGTACTGTACTAACCGGATCGGTTTTCTTGAAGGTTTAATCATAACTGTGGAACACTGATGCATGGACTTTTTAGTTCTATATACATTATATATATCCACGTACAGATGGAGAAGTCTCTGACTGTTGCATCATTCTATTGCGAAATTGAAGAGTTGAATGTGCCATCTCTAAAGCAATATTGATGCTAATTGAGCAAATAAGAAGAAGAAGCGATATAGTATCGCTGAGCCAGCACTACTGTACTAGTTTGAAAAGTGTAGTTTGTGGTCAAAACAGAGATGACCGACAGTACGCTGTGAAGTTGAAACAAAAATAACTTAGCAGCAATGCAATGCTGTACTTGAGGGCTTACGGCAGCCTTTCGAAATACGGAATGGTATAATATTGCAATTTTAATGGCCATTACTGGAATATTTTTTGGCGAAAGTGACTATGTCAATACAGTATATACTGTACAAGTAACATCAATACTATATGCATTAAATGTGTACAAGTAACATCAATACTATATGCATTAAATGGGTACAAGTAAAATCAATACTATATGCATTAAATCGGTACATGGAACATCAATATTATGCGCATTAAATGGCTTCTAAATGCTAGTAAACAGTAAAGAGAAAAATAATACTGTACAGTACTTCAGTAGAGTAGAGTAGAGTACAGTACAGTGTACTGTACATACAGTACATTATAGTCTTGTGTACAGTGCATTGTACTGTACCTAATTTGTACAGTACAGTACTGTACTGTACAGTATAAATAGACGGTACTAGTGATTGTGGGAATATTCCCATATTATTTTTACACCTTCATTCAATGTTGGAAATCATTTCTTCATTTGAACTCGTATATCATTAAAGTAATCAAGTTGACTAAATTAATTCTATGGAACTGAAGAACTTGGAGATAACCTCTTCACCTACCGCTGACTTGCCACCTGAGGTAAGATAGTAGCTATTACCCGAAAGGATAGATTATTTTACCGCAGATTAAACAATACAATTACACTGAAATTCGGCATTGATTGACAACAAAATAAAGCAGTTGTTGTCCAATTCCAATTTTACTTAGCATAGAAAATACACTATCTACCTAATATTGGATAAGCTATCATTGTAGGGGAGTAGTATCGGTTAGATATATTAATAATCTCCCTCTATTTTATTCCATTTTACAATAATACGCAGTCATTCGCCTATCAGCTCATTCAATCGATCGCGTAAATAAATTACTACCTTACACTGCACAGTCGACAGTACAATAGATGGATGGGCAAGGAACTAAAATGATGCAATATTATCATCATTATCGCACATCCAATGATTCTTCTACAAAAAAAATTCCTGTATGCGATACTTTAAGACATCGACTACCGTTAGAAAGTCCGATAGAGATCACAGTTAGGTTATCAAAACAGTTTATACATGTCCATTTTTCCATCAACCCAAGTGATTGACTGTAGGAATCAAGATAATACTTATTGTATACAGCACGGGGATTTAGCAACAGTGGTATGCAACCATTGAGCAACGTTTTATGCATGAATAATGACTTGATTATAATTTGTAATTGATGGCTTCGGAAAGTATATCAATAGTGTACAGTTAGACCATGATGATGGAAAGTATATATAATCGTATAGTCATATACTTGTATATATATACGAGTATATGAAGGAATAGTACACAATAGAAATAATCAAATGTTAATAAATAAGTAAAAACCCAAGCATAACGAAATGGCTTAACCTAACCTGTGGACCAACATTTTTACCTCTCAATTATTAACCAGCCTTTACTAAATTCATTCTACAGATAGAAGAAGGAAATGTTGAATATAAGGTTAGTGATGAAATGGACATCTTTATTATAATTTATTTTACTATTCAATATAATGTTGAATATGAAAGGCCAGCAACAACAGTTAGATACTGGTTGATGTTCAGTTTTTATCACTTATTGATGATTCTTTTAGTAAGTCAGAACATGTAGTCCGATTATTTATCACTGTCTCTTTCGTCTTGTTAATGATTTTTAATTTTGTAATTTTACTATTCCATATAATAATATTTATAATGAAAGGACGACAATAACAGCTGTACACATGGTTGTTTGTCAGTTTTTGTCACTTATAGATGATTCTTTAGTGAATCATTATACGTAATTTATTTATTTGTCAATATTCCTTTCTTGTCATTCGTGATCACTAATACGTGCTTATACAGTATGAATATATGGATAAGCAGTGAGTCTATCAAAAATACAACAACGATAGTTTGATATCCATATAGTAATATAGGTTGTACTGTAGTATTCATTGATAGGATTGGGCTACAGAATGATTCAATACTTACACACGTAATAGTTAACCTGTTCACAATAATACTAAGCCTTTCAAATATTAGAGTGCTACAGTTTTCCGCATGAATTACGGTGATAGACTTTCACCTGATTCTTTATTGATATATTACTTTAAAATTATCTCTCTATATACTAGTAAGATTGGTGATCTAATGAAGAGTAATCTAAATAATATATCATTGCAACGATTGAGTATAAATATATTACTAAGATACCTGAAAGCAGACTTTGGGAAAAACGCAGTTATTCGCTGGATATAACAATATACGTAGTGTAGCGAGTAGCGTATTTTACTATGATACCATCTTTTGCGTGTTGATTCTTAAGAGTAGCTCACCACACTGTTGACCTACTGAAATCGTTATCTCCGTATCATGTAGCTCAAACTCATTGACGTTAGTTCGGAAAGATTTGAACAATTAGTCACACAAATGAAGTGGAGGTTGGAAGAAGGCTATGGTGAAGCAATTTATAAAGTCGGTGTAAGCAACGGAGGATGCTTGATTGGGTTGCAAGAAAAAGACCTTGAGAGATCTCTCTGTACACTAAAATCTATGGCGTCAAGGTATGCAGTTCAACTTGCGCGATAATGTTTTGCATTGGTGTATCCTATAACAAATTTGTTTTCTGTAGCATTCGTACTTTTGAAAAGGAGCTACAAAATCTACCTTAATACAATCCAACTTTCTTAGTACTGTACAGTATATATCTTGTGTAATTATCAGATTCTCATGTATATTCTTTATGTTAAAATAGCTTGGATGCAGATTTAACTATATTGCGCTATTACGCCGCGCGAAATCAGGCTCAGGATTCATCTAAAAGAGTAGCTGAAGTTCTGGTTAGGAGAGTTTCAGGAAAGAAAGAGGTTATTTGATACGTAGTAAACGCTCGTAGGAATACTGTTCTCCGGTCTATTAATTTAGAGAAAAAATTATAATCGATTATATTGTACAACTTGTTCATCTACGACATTCTTCCTAAATTTATTTTGTTACTCAGTTATTACATTTGAAGATAGCGGTTCTGGGAGACTGTGGCGTCGGTAAGAGCACTTTATTGGGTGTACTGACAACAAACGAGCTTGATAATGGTCAAGGAAAGGCTAGATTAAACTTATTTAAACATTTACATGAGATTGAGAGTGGTTTAACTTCCAGTGTTAGTCATGAAGTTCTTGGCTTTGACAGTAAAGGAAATGTGAGATATGCACATACACATATTGTATACATAAATATATTAACTAATAAATATCCTTAATCATTTGCATTATTGCTATACCTCTTGAAACAGTTAGATATTACAACGGAATTGTATTTGTCTAGGTAATGAACTATAGTGATTCAAGGACTGCCGAGGATATAATGCTAATTTCTTCAAAACTTCTTACCTTGATTGACCTTGCCGGCCATCAAAAATACTTTAAAACAACCATTCTGGGACTTGTTGGTCATGCACCACATTGTTTTATGTTTGTTGTAAACGCTAGAACTGGTTTAGGTATGTTTTCTTGATATAAATAGATATTTTGTTAATGATATTGCAATATAACCGTGATTAGTATATACCTTATCGTTTTACTTATAATTTTTCAAATACTCATATCTATATGAATCCAATGGTAGGATCTGAAACTGCTAAAATACAGTTACGATTAGCTGCTGCGTTAAAGATTCCTCTATTTGTAGTCATAAATAAAATTGATGCTTGTTCTGCGAAAATCTTACATCAAACCACGGATCAAGTGAATCAGTCTTTACAGGCAATATGTGATCACCGATCATATTTAATTACCAATTCAGGAGAAGTCATTATTGCAGCATCGAATTTTTCTAATAATAGCAGGTATTTGGTAGCACAACATATTGTCTTTAAATGTTATCATTCTGGTTATTGGCAAATAGCTCACAGATATGTACCTATTTCTCTGTAAAGCCTGCGAAGTACTCCAGTATTTCAAGTATCTTGTACAAAGGGAAATGGCCTTGACCTCGTAAAACAATTCCTAAATTTGATACCAATGCCATGTGGCGATATACAAGTTAGATCCGAAAAAAAGAATTATATCGAATTTCAGGTTATACGCCGAAATTTTGTAACAAACTTTATACGTATCGAAGTTTTGGTCATTTTTGCACTTTAAAATTTATTTCGTACTCGGTACTGCGTGCTAAATCTATGACTAAGCATAGCGATAGTTACTCGACAGCATTTGATATTTCTTTATACCCAGAATTATTAGTATAAAGGGGCTATTTACTTACTAACAATCATTATCAACATAAGCATATATACGCGTATATATATATACGATCAAGTAGCATGCACTATAGAAATTCTGGATTGTTTTCCAGTGATTCTCGAAAGAAATTCAGAATTATAAAATGCAATCGATTAATTAAGGATACTTGGTAAATAGTACAACAACAATACATATTTGAGGATAAAATCGATATTTTCACTTTTATCTATAGGTAAATGAAATATACTATGTGCCAAATGTTGGTGTAGTCGTTGGCGGACTTTTGAGTCGGTAATCTTAATCATTAACTTAGTATAGAGATGTATGAGCCTATGATCACATTAAGTAAAAAACTTTGGTAATAACAATGTTTGTATTACAGCGGAACCATACACGAAAACAATTGCCTTTGGTTAGGTCCATGTGAAAACGGTGATTTCGACTATGTTAAAATTTGTAGTATACATCGAAATAGATTACCATGTCAAAAAGTACAAGCTGGCCAAATGGCCTCGCTGGCTATTAATAATGTAAATAAAGAAAAGTTACGCAAGGTAGTCACTATATGGATGATGACGAATCATATTCGTATTGCTATTTATTTACTGATATGTGTCATCGATCACCGGTTAGGGCATGGTTTTGATAGATCAAAACTCGACACAACCTTGTTCATGTCAGACGTTCGAAGCCAGCGTAACTTGGCTATCATCAGAAAAAGTTGTAAATAAAGGCTCACAAGTTTGTGTATTCATTAGAAACATCCGACAAAGTGCTGTCGTGGAAAGGGTTCGTTGATACCCAATTTTTGTTAAATTTTAAATCAATAAAGTTGGTTAATTTTGTCAGATAGGGTACATTAACACTGTGCATTATTTCTAAATTTCAGATCACGATGGAAGGTGATGACGTCCGAATTCGGTTCCGTCTGAAAAAACAACCCGAGTACATTATAGAAGGCAATCGTATTATATTTCGCCAGGGAGACATAATAGGCCTAGGAATCGTTAAGAGCATAGTACCTCTTCCAGCAAGCGCAATCACATAAAATTAGAAATCAACCACGAGTTTTACTGTTGTAAATTATATCCTGAACGTATCATAAATGGGCGAATCAGTCCTGAAATATACATGTACATTATGGCAGGTCCTCTGAATACTGTATTGTCACTGCTATAGTGCTATTGCACGCTCACATCGTTACAGCTAAAATTAGAACAAGAAAAGATTAATTCTAGTCTTTAACTGAAATTTTGATGTCTATATACTGTGCTAGTGTTAAGATTTTATCTCGAAAATGTATATCATTGTCAAACTTACAGTATCTTTGAATATACTGTATTTATACGACAATACGTGTAGTATTCGAAGAGATTTTTAACGATATGTATACTATATAGTATGTAGTGTCGGACGTTATAAATGTCCTACTGTATATCGAATAAATTATTCTATTTACAGTAATATCGAATAACCTCATCCACTACGTCAACTGGCGATTTTGTACACTCCAGAAATTATAATTACCAATTATATAATTATGAAATATTATAGGTGATATTATTCCCGAAAATTAATTTTTGACTTAGACTCTACCAAAATGACTATACTGTAGAGTACTACTGCTGTTGATCGATCACTGGGAGTAGGATTATTTTGCCATTCTGTCCTATAGCTGCTGCCGAACAGTTTAACCCTTTTCTTTTCAAAGCTACGGCGTATCATTGGCATATTCGAACATGCTTATCTTTCAATCTGGTAGAGTTTAGTATTATGTGACCGTAGAAGACCGTTGCATCGACGCGTGGCAGACCTTGGCAAGGGCTACATTGTACTTTTTTAATTAAGCCTTTATTGAAACATTAATGGCGATTTATGAGTTACAGGTAAACTGCTATACTGTATCATTCCTAAGATTGCTACGATCGTTACAATAGCGACCTGAATAACGGATTCACTTAGAGTATGTATTAGCCGCTTGCATAGGATAGCAATTAATTAATTATTAATGGTGAGGTATAGATGAGTCAACTTTTTCAAACTGAGAAAGAAATGACCAATCAATTATCATTAGATCTTATTACCATCACATTACAATTATGAAAAATTTCATGGTGACCAATCTGATTCGATTTTTATACTTGATACCATCAGATTGTCCAAATTCTCAGCTGTGATCAATAGTGATCACCTTTCATTTCCTTTTTTTACACCTCGTCAAGGTTGCACCTCTCTACAGGCCCTGCTAATATTATCAATAACTTTATTGTTAAAAAAGTCATTTCGTAAGTTTTAGCGTTTGATTGGCTAGTTCTCTGTTTCGTGGGCGGGGCGAGCTCTTTACACTCGAACCGATTGAAAGCAACTCAGGCTTCTAGTTTTTAAGGATTTCCTTTTCAATTTGGATAAAATTTCACGTAAATCGATACATACAATCTTGAGCAATCGGCTACTTGATGTATTTTATTAATTAATTTTTACTGCCGCATTGAGTTTATTTCATCCTCTATGAAATTTAGAATACAAATCACCAGTCACTGGTAAATGGGCGAGCATTTCATTTGGTATACAGTACTGAAGTCACGCGCATCTATTTCACCTTGAGTGATAATACTGTACAGTATACAGTACTGTATAATTAGTTAATTCATGGCACTAGTAAATTTATTCAGGCTATGTTATAGGAAATAAATAAAAATTAGATAGATCATCGATGGGTAGAACTATGCTCTGAAAGCTATGGCCAAAGAAATATGATATGATTGGCCTTAAGTTAGACTCCAAAGAAATGTCAAAATTCATTACATAGTCGTGAATTTTCTCTCCAAAGTACCTGACATAGTTAACACGTGTTCACTTCGTTTAAGGCTTCACACTTAGTGCAGTATTTTGATGGTAAAATTTGCATATACTCGTACGATGAAAGCTGTCGAAAATCAATATGTTTCATTGAGTTTTGATTACTTATTATTTCGTCATTATAGTGCTGTACCTGTACTACAGTATGCATTAATAAATGTAATATGCTGTACAACGTACAGCGCGGTGGTTCTTAAAAATAAAAGAAAATAAGTACACTATGATCCTGCCCAGTGTTTTAACTTGTGCTTTTGGCTGCACATTACTATACGTACTATAATTTATTTATTAATTAATTTACTCATGGTCACGTTCGCACTTGAGTATCTAATACAGTCTATATTGTATGATGTAAATTGCTTTGATGTAGTCTTGATAATCACACAGTTAATTATACTGTACAATTTCCGGAGGTAATGCTATTGTAAATTGTAGAAACGTGTACAACACTGCAAGTGCATTAATAAAGCATAATTAATCGATGGCACCGATGCCTAAGGGACCCTCGAGGGTCACGACGTCATGACCTCCAGGTTTCGCCTTTTCGACAATATCAGGCGATCGGTCTACGTGACGCAATCCTCCACATTTTTGTGCAGTGAAATAGGACTTGTGAATTTCCTCTTTGGCAGGATTAGCCCGCTAACATAGATTTTTCTGGAATCTCTGTGGTTTGTTAGCTATAAACTTCGCGAACTTGTTCTCTGATTTATAACTGATCGCTGCTTCACTAATACGCCTAACTATATCAAAGATGAAGCTTCTATGCATAATTTTTATCGTACAATGTACTATCTTCTTGGCAAGTATTGTCGGCAAGAGCAGTTTGCAGCCGCCTCCATTTATGCAAAAAGTGGCAATGGCAAGATATGTCGTACACCAAACCAACTGGTCTGTCATATCAACTATATCGAAACCGTTTGATGGCATACCTTTTGGAAATGTGGAATCATTTAGTGATGGACCTATCGGTAACAGCAGTGGTATTCCTTACTTTTATCTCTCACCTTTCGATTTTGCTTTAAAGGATATCGTCCAGCATCCACAGGTCACTGCAACCATGACCTTAAGCCAAACTGGTTACTGCTTCAGTAAGCACTATGATCCAGAAGATCCTCGATGCGCTCGCGTAACTGTTATGGGTAATTTAGTAAAGGTCACCAAAGCTAAGGAATTGCAATTTAGTCAGCATGCTTTGTTCAGTCGTCATCCTGCAATGAAGTCTTGGCCTAAAGGTCATCATTTTGCTATTTATAAAATTAATATTACAGCGGTAGTTGCCCTAGACTTTTTTGGAGGTGCAGATATAATCCCTGCTGCCACCTATTTTGCAGCCAAACCGTAAAAATCAAACCATGTACGTATACTAACTTAGAGCATAAAAAGTCTTCGAAAATTTATCCTGAAGTCAAAGCTCTTACTCACATGCGTATAGTACTGATATATTGTTATTCTTTCAATTCTTATTACTAAATGTTTTAAAATGATGTAATATACCGGAAGTTACTACTGTAGAACATCGAAATAATGTTCTCCTTAAAATTTTGTAGCATTTTAATTAATTTATTGTACGTTTGATTAAATGTGATGAACTTAATAAAGTTACCACATGACTCCTTCGGCGTATTGCTTCGCTGTTTTACCCGAATCCCTGGATAAAAGTCACGTCGTATATACGAGTATTCGTATTTCTGTTGGTATTCTGCATAATATTTCAATTAACCAGATAAACTATCTATCCAGCTAAACTGTGTGCATGTTAACCAGTTAACGTCACTAAATATATGGAACTAATGTGCATGTCGTAGTTGCGAATATTTTGAGTTACAGTACTAGTTTTCTGTCGATCAGTACGCTTGATCAAGTTAACCTAAGTGCCGTAATCACAGCCTACTTTAGCATCTCTAGCTACGAAATAAACTACATTTATAGGGATAAATCGATAAAATAATGCCGTAAAAAGTTTTAGTTCCTTACAAACCGCTAAACGGACAAATTTGTCAGCCGTTTTAATTCTGTTATAAATCTGGACAGAATTACTATAAGGTAATCAGTAATTTAGAATACCTTTATAGTCATTGTAAAATTCACTTTATTAGAAATTGATAACGTTATTCTTGTTATAATATTATAACTTGCTTTCACGATACATATACAGAAATCTAGTCATAGTTTACTCCTCCACTATAAAAAACTATAAGAATTATAATAGAAACCAAATTTAAAAAGATATGTTATGCAACAAAAATTATAAAGTATCATCGTAACAACGTAAAATTATTAGATAATACAGGAATAGCATCTTTCATTGTATGAATTCCAAAAAACGTTGATCACACGACACTGTTTCGTATAATTATTATGATATTATCGTAGTGACTACAGTAAAAGAGTTAATAATGATATTTTATAGTTAATAATAACTTCATCGAAAACTTATATAACTATTCCACCGCAACCTGGCAATAATTTTAATTTGAAAACCAATCATCTTTTCTTAATAATTATCAGTCTTGCTGCACTAAAACGACAGCATACTGATAATAAACTTAAGGCTAAAATAAGAGCTTATTAAGTAATCCGCAATAGTTAGTCAAATGTCAATATGATGTACAAGCAAAATGGCCGTTGTATACAGAAGTTATCACCAAATCTATTATGAAATAATCATATTGCTTACAATTTTAAAGTTTGTAAAATTAACATAATTTAAAGAAACTAGATAAATGGCGTCTTACTTTAAAAATCAAAATATCCTTCATTACTGCCGATATTATACCGATGGAATAAAATGAGCAGCTCTACCAAACATATTAATAAAATTACTTCTTGTATAATTTACCAAGCTTGGGTGTTCCTGGTCTAGCATTTATTCCACTGTATTGATATTTCGCCTTTTTATCAGACGGTTTAAGTATCTGTCAAATAAAGAATATAATTCGTTTACCGATATAGCTAACCAATCCATGATAAAACTCTAATTCTTACAACTACAAGGATCGACAGGCAAGCTACTTACATGGAAAGAACACATTAAGGTTTCATCAACGCTCATCATTCCTCCAGCATTATCAAATTCCCCACAATAATTCGGAGCAGAGAACAGTGTAACTAGTTGTCTTTTAGCGAAAAATTCATAGCCATCTTCAACCACCTTAAGAAATGATGTACATGAAAGCAATAATAAACTATATTTAATGATATGCTAAAAAGAAAATAAAGCTAAAGAAACAACTTCATACAGTCACTCTCACCTGATGAGCGCGACATATCAAGTCCATATCATGTCGATTTAAAAATTTTGTAACAATATCGCCTCCAAATGTAAAAGATACGCCACGGTCATTTTCTCCCCATCCGTTACAGTCCTTATCAGGGTCAGACCAGAGTAAGTCGCACAATAAACCTAAGTTTATTCACGGTAAATCATGACTTAGTAATATTATTAAAGCGATTGTCAAACATTAAATAATTATAATTGCCGCACCAGTATCAGGCACATCGGTTGGTCGAGAAATCCTACGAATTTGTTCCATCGATTGAAGATCAGGTGATAGACCTATAAAAACACCTTATGTTAAATAACGCTATTGCCATAAATTAGACCCTTAAATTCAATAAAATCTTTAAAATAACCTCCATGACAACAGAATATCTTCTCATCGATTATAGCAGCAATTGGTAAGCAATTGAAGCAATCAGTGAAAGTTTTCCACAATTTTTGACTGTATCTTCGACGGCCTACAAATAACGAAAAATTTGATGCTTACAATAAGAATTTATTGATGCTAGGTGTCATAAATACGAAGAGAATTAGAGACAAGCGTTGCAATGTCGTTGATTCAATCATCAAATCTTACATTCATCAAAAAATCCGTATATTCTATTGATGCTTGCACATTCATGGTTTCCACGTAGCAAGAAAAAATTCTCCGGATACTTTATCTTATATGACAAAAGTAGACATATGCATTCTAATGATTGTTTGCCTCTATCAACGTAGTCACCAAGAAATAAATAATTGGAGTCAGGAGGATAACCACCCGTATCAAATAAGCGAAGCAGGTCGTTATATTGTCCATGAATATCCCCTGGATAGGAAATAGAATGTCAATTATAACCATAATACATCTATCACAGTTAAGGAAAGATAATCAATTGCTATTTTACAGTATCTTATTGCAAATCAAATTCAGTTACAAATCGACATTTTCATTATTATACAAACTGTCAATTACCACACGTCTGAGTAGTATCATGTAATGATAATATCTATTGGATAGAGTATTAGCTCTTACATGGATTATCACAGAAGTTCTCGAGAAAATTGTATATACCGTATAGTTTCTTCAATAAAGAAGGGATATAGAGTTCGTAATACAGTAATAATTAGAAGAGCAATGCTGTAGCATTATTGAGTATAGCTAAAATATTTTCTAAATGAAAATATCTCTACAGACGGAATCACTCCAGATATAATATTTCACACTAGTACAACGAAACTGTAACAGATAAATAGTCAGTAACGACGTAGGTAAACTGTTATTCTTACACATTACACCTCGATACGCCATCACACAACAACTGTCATCGCTATAAGCGTACATATACAGTATATGTACAGTATAGTGTTTAGAATACGAAAAATCTAATACTATACGTCAAGACTGCACTAAAAATGATACAAGTATTAGTACAAGCTATCTGATATATTAGCGCACCATAATTTACTTTAAAGCAATCGCTTATACATATTGCACGTGTAGTAAGTAATTTCCAACGAGGCCATCTTATTTTCAGCAGACGCGTATAATGCATGAGTGTTATGTTGTTTGACTATTAATTTGTTTGCACAATAGCTACTATTATAGTTGTACAGTATCTAAATCGATAATTTGTTCCTTTAGCTGTAAGTGAAATGTGTACCGAAATTTTAAGGAATCTAAATGTATGTAGATGTAAATGGTGTGTACTTCCCAAAATTGCAACTTCTGTCATGATTGAATCCAAATTGAATCACAGATGACTACAGTGCAATGCAAGAGTTTGACTCGTCATGTAGACTGACAATATATATTTCAGCTTAAAACTAGTCTAATGTCCTGCGCGTTATTGATGGCTACTGATCACTAGCCATCACACTGTTTTAAGTACCTACAATAAGCGAATAACTTACCACATATCTTTAACGGTGCAGACAACTCTAACAGAATGGGCTGACTCAGAAATATTTCACGAGACTTCAAGCATAACATTCTAATTTGTTCTTCCGTCAAATTTACGGTTTTGATATTGCGTGGACCACTTCGGGCTAGATTTTGAAAGATTCAAAACTAGTATTAAATAAGTTGCAACACCTTGAGTATAAATTTAAATGATAATAAAACATATCATTAAAAGGGATCACCGCATCTGTATGTCTATTGCCGTATTAAGTTAAACATTGATCGGAACAGTAACGCACAACAATGAATCAGTTTTAATACAGTACTTATACATAAACCTAAAAAGTAGCGTAGCGACAAGGTACAGCGCCATATTACTAAGCCCATAAAGCTGAATATTACATGTCAGTATTATGCTAAGTCATTATGGTCAATATAAAGTTATATACGAATTACATTATCAATGATTCCAGAAGATTGGAAATCAAATAAACATTCTTTCAAGTATATTGCGACAATACAGACAACATACGAATTCCACTACTGTGGGAGCAATCAATTGGGAAATTTTGTGCTCGAGCTGGTGCAGCAACCCGGAGACTTCAAGACTATAGTATTTCATAGTAGAAGTCTCTGGTACTGGTTAGAAAAACGCTCTGCTCTTGCTGCAAAGGTATATACTGCAAAGATAACTCATTTTTATAGGCCATTACTATAAACTATCGTTTCTCCAAGTCACTACTGAATGTATGTACGTACAGTACAGTATCTGGTAGTTCAATTAGGTGATGATAAATCTAGATTTAATTTAATTTATACATCATTATTAATGATCTGATAAGAGTACTGCAAAATATACTTTACCGTAGACTTAATAATATAGTCCAAGTACAAACTGCATACTGTAAATCTCGAAGGAACTTCTTAAAATCTGAATATTTTCCAAAAGTCTCTGCTTTTGCAAATGTAGCATGCTGAAAATGTCAATATGCGTATTCATACGTTTATGAAGTTTCACTGCACTATGTATACCGTACACTGACAAAGTACAGTACAATGATCGTAGTATCATCATAGTATATAAACATTTATTACACTTTACTGATCACGGATAGCATCAGATAAAGCCGTTTACAGTAATAAAAAGCATCCAAATCCGTCAGATCATCAGTCTTTCCACTTATACTAAGTCAAGAACTCGATATGGGCGTGTAGGTGCATCGTGCAGACACTCGGTGCAGATTGCTGACTCGTCCAATCGACTGACTATACTGGAGATACTGAGCTGTACAATGTACAGTGTACAGTACGCTATTGTAGAGTGCAGTACTGTACACTGTACGCTCGGTGTACAATACCTTACGTATGAATATTTCTTCTACTGTCCATTTAGCGCTAAAAGCGCCGATCGCAGGCCTTAGAAAGTCTATTATTTTTTCACATAAATATGTGAAGCAGGCATGCACGGCACAAGCGTTTCAACACGGATAAAAATATTGAAGGCCATCTCGCGAAATTAGAACTCAATGCACATTGTAGTATGAAATTTTCTCCACAAATTATTATCTGGGCATAAAGTACAGTGGACGTAACTTATCACTTAATAATCACGCATATTGTTACTGATATACCGTCGCTGAGAAAGAAAAGTTTATCAAGTTCGCTCGTAGCCATCAAACTTTACCGTACTGTAGGTGTATATGTCACTGTATAGTATGTTGGCTCTCCATCTTACAGTAAAATGGGCAAAGCATTAACTTACCGCTACAGTACTCCTTTTTACGTAGACACTACTAAACTGATGCCGGTAATGTCAGGCCATCTCAAAGAATAATTAATATGAGTTATAAAAACATTAACTCAATTTCACAGGCTCTGATAAAGTCGTAAAGATTTCATATCAAGTACTGTATTCATTTATCCGCAGTTATGAACTAATCAAAGAGACTGTAACGTATCATCTGCTGTCTTGGTGACACAATACAAGTGATATCAGTTATATCAGGGCAAAAAAATACCTAATACCTAATGAAATCAAGCTATTTTCAGCTTGTTACTGCATTCCATGTAATAGCAAACGTTTCCACAGTTGTGAAATATTATAAGTGTGTAAGAAACTTGGCACAGTATTTAATAGTGCTTTTTTTATCAAAATTACTACCCAACCCTCGACACTAACGAGTCACTAGACTGCTCGGTTAACAGAATGTCGGGTACGTCCCATTTCAATCTATCAACATTTTCAAATCCAACAAATGCATGTTATTTCGTTTGTAAATGTCCAATATCGTTCTTTCTTTACCACCTTGTGAGCGTCAATAAATGTTGCCTAAGCACGATGCTGATCGTTTAATACTTTTATGACGAGCTTTTAATTCAAGTTGTAACGAATTCTACATGATTTTTCAGTCTAATAATATGATGGTATTAACGGTAGCCTTGACTAAGCATTAATCATCACTCATTACCAGTCATTACCGGTCCCACTACTGAATCTTTCGTTGGCTATCTACTTATTAGTCACTACACGCATTTATTTAAGAAAGTTACAAAATTATTGCTATTGCATTATATCACTTCAAACAGTCTGAAGGTACTTTTTAACCGTTAAGGATTGGTCCTACAAATGCGGCATCGTAAACATGGCATAACTACAGTACAGAAAATTGGATATCATTGCACAAACCTTCCAGCAATTTTGCGATAATTGCATCAATATCCAGTTCATTAGACATTCTTTCAGTCTACTATGGAAAGTTGTATCTTTAACCTAAAAATAATTAAAATGAAAATCTCAATGAATTATAGTCATAATAGAGTTATAATATGGATTAATGTTGTACTTGCCAGAGAAAAGTCTTCCTGTGTTTCGTGCTAGGAAACAAGAATTACGATCAACGATAGATCAACACACCTTTTGTATATATACTATACACTATAGTACAGTCAGTACTGTACAATACAGTACGGTACGATATACTATACCACAGTACTACGGTCGAGTTGGTCCCGATTTGAGGAAACTCAGTCCTGTACAGTGTACAGTGTACAGTATATCTGCAACCAGACATACTGTACTGTACTGTGTACTGTATCCAGGACAGTCATTGCGTAGTTTACAGTACAGTATTGTAGTACTGTACACTACTGTACAATGTAGTGTAGGCTTTGTACTGTACGCTATGTGCTACAGTCTACAGTACAGATAGTAGAGTACTGTACTGTGGAGCGTGTAGAATTTCTTTCTAGAGAAATCGGTGCGTACTTTTATGAAGATTTTTGTAGCAAAATTCTCATAATTTTCAACGTGTAATGCTATCGATTTATAAAAAAATGAATAGAATCCATCAATTTTGGTACTTTTATTTCATTTTGAAAAATCTGAATTAGAATTTCTACCCGCTGTACACTACTGTATAATGACTAGAAAATCATGCCTGCACAGTCCCGTACTGTATGTACTGTACACTGTAAACTGTATCATTTGATGCAGTACTGTACTGGATCAAACAACTATAGTGTGCTTCAACTTCTTTACTACACAACTATACTGTATACTGTATAGTGTATGCAGTACTGTACGCGCAACTTGATTACAGCATTCGAAATGCGGGTAGAGAACAGTATTAATTCGTTATTATTAATTAATTAATTCATTAATTATACTGTATACTCGTATATATCACAGGCCAAGAAAATACTGTAGTAATTCTGTTTAACCTCAGTATACTTATCGTCTAATGACTATTTTCGATGTATTTACTTTGTATTAATTCGTTATTATAAATTAATTAATTAATTGATGAATAAATTCATTAATTATATTGGATACTCGTATATATCACAGGCCAAGAAAATACTGTAGTAATTCTGTTTAAGCTCAGTATACTTATTGTCTAATGAATTATTTTCGATGTATTTTCTCTGTTCACGATCAATTTATGCGTTAGCATTAGTAAGAGACAGCTTGCCTAACACGCTAATTCAACTTTCTAAAACCAATATTGATGGTCATATCTCCCTATGCTTGATATCACGTAAAAAGACCTACTAAAGCCCAACTATCTATCGGTTAAACTACAATAATTGCTACCCTCTTATTGTAAAGAATAATAAGAATTCATATGAAGAAATTATACACAGATTTTCCCCTTTTCTGAGACCTGAATTCCATTATATTCTATCCCGTTGAATTGAAATCGTATATTTACAAAATAGTTTATAATGAGTATGGTATTTAACACACCCAATTTAAAATTTCATACTTCATAACTATAATTTATAATAGCCCAGTACAGAAGTTGTAGTGAACGGGTCAACAAAATTTTTATGACTTTGTTTTGTGAGATAAATGGTATATGCAACGGGTTAAAATTTGCAAGGAATAAGTAAGCTTTAAAGAGAACATTTAAAATAGCAGTTGCCTGATTACTATAACACAAAAATAATGTTAGCATTTTCAAAGGCATTTCGTATTCAATCAATCGGGTATTTAATTGTTAATTTAAGGTGTTAATCATTGTTAAAAAGTTAATATCATACAATAAATAAGAGTTTATCTCAATGATAATTTCTCGCATAGGACATAGATTGAAATTTTAATTAATAACAAGATAAATCATAGGCAAATCCCTAAAAGTAGACAATAAAGAGATCACCAGCATAAGATAGAAAAATAGCTAATAGCTATTAATTTATTCAATCGATCATGACATAAAAATGAATACAATAATGACCTTTAGTATAATAGATTGAGCATTGTTAGTTATGTTTTTGATCCGTAGCGAAATTGCGCCTTTACGTCAAACTATAAAAACAAAGTTTTGCTAGCAGCCATTTATTATACCGTATATAAGAAGGAACCAATCTAAAATTAAAAGTCACGATAAACGATAGCAACGTGAATAATACAAATCACCTTCAAGATTGGCGAATTTACATAAAATGACCGGTAATGATAATCTCATCATATTAAATACGTTATAAATATCGAAGGAAGGTAAAATTGAAAATCCATTTTATTAAAATAGAACTAATATTTACTTAAGTAAGCAAAAACATTAATCCACTTTAAAAAGACATATCTTAGTTGCTTAATTATAATACTGTCTCTAAATATCTGTATCATTTATATCACTTTACATCAGTACCATTATAGTATGCTTGTGTATAATTCTATTCTCATCGCTACGGTTACTTTTATTCGTATAATTTTCAATCTAATGACTGTCATGTTAGAAAATGATTCGATATTGAATCATATTAGTATTTTATATATTCCAACAATTGAACAAGGATCACAAGATCTGCCTGTTTAAGGTTATTCATTTCATCTTACTTAATGATTTAACATACTATCATATAATAAGTATTCACATTCCTTTCGGACTGCCACAGCTGATCGTGTATCATTCTATAATTTATATCCGAAGTGCAACTTGTGTCACTCAAATAATGCTACTACTTAAATTTTTATACTCTATTAAAATATTAACTAGAAGTGTAGTATAAAATTAACTCAATTTCCGTAGGGAGTAGGACTGTAAGTTATAAGTATTTCGCTCCAGACTGCAATTACTTCACGTCACCTATGTAATTAACCCATTGAATTTTATTTACCAGAAAGTATTCCATTTGATTGAAATAATAAAATACGATTTGGTATAGGTAGAGGGCGATATTCAGCACTATTATCTATTTTACGTCAGTTTAGAGTTAAAACCTTTTCTATACGTTTTACAATATTTAGTACGACTTTATCGACCTAGTTTCTGGAGATGTAACGTAATTTTTGTATGTGATGATATACTGTATTATGTGTTAAAAATTATTATACGCGTAGGTGTAATATAACACGGTAAATTTCGATGGAATTGAAAGTTAGTCAGTAGTGCATCAATAATTCTTGAATAGCAACTCGTAAGTCCAAATTTTCGTCTTGAGATTTTATTAAAAAATATGATACAATTATTATTTGAGGAATATAAAGCGATCTAATTAAAGTATCACAAAACCTTAACTCAATAATGTGGTACTGTCACACTGAATTAATCAAAATATATTTATTAATTCTGATGTCTGTACAGTATGTTTCCTAACTGTCATCTATAATTAATTGGGTTTCTTAACGAAGATTTATTTAGTAAGCTTTATCGTGTATGATATTAAAATACGTATATATATACTCGTATATATGTATCTACGCGTATTTGCTGTATGTTAGTGGTAAGGATAGTGATTTTAATTGCATCTTAAAAAGAATTTAAATAACATTATATTCAACGAATTAGTTTCAAGGGCCAGATATTTTACTAATATTTACTATTTTAACATTTATAGATGCAAATAATTCGAATTCAAGTCACTTTTATAGTGCCAGCAGTACACTAAAATATGGAATCATCATTATCATTTTAGTATCAGTATTAGCCGCCATAAGCAACCTATATATTTTGTTCGTTATTTGTATTCAGCGTCGAAAAATGGTACCAGTCCTGCTAGGAATTGGTAATTTAGCTATTTGTAATACATTGACAGTGATACTTTTACCGACCAATCTTGGACTTATTTTACAAGCTTTTAAATATCGATCAATGGAGATAAATTTACCTTCTAGATTTGCATGTGGTATGACTTTACCGCTAGTTATTCATACACAGCTCACGAGTAGAGGCACGTTGGCTTTTATTGCTATTGAAAGACATCGGCGTATATGTGTTGGTAATAATAGAATTACCACGACTCAAACTAACTTTGTTCTTACAACATTATGGATTATCAGTGGGGCTCATGTATGGGCCCATTTTTTAACTATTTTCAGTAATCAATCTGTTTTAACGTTATGCAACTTGTTAAGCGCTTCATTTCATTCTCGTTTGATATTTATCTCACCCATCTTAGGCACAACTTTGTGCTCATTAATAGTGGAAATAATATGCCATTATCGAATTAATGTTAATTTAAAGAAAAATCTTACATTAATACGAATGCAAACTATAAATAATACTCTATCTAATCGTCGCGTTAACTATGGCTTGATTCATTTGGATAACGAAGTATATCGATCTTCCAAAACGATATCTCATGCCACAAAAAAGAAAAAAGCTACTTTAAAATCTCTGTTTCGTATTACAGCTTGGCACTCAGTGATGACAGTGTTATGGTGTTTAAACATTGGGATAGTTGTTGCTTCGCAAAGTCAATATAATCGTTCAATTCTAGATTGGGTAATCGTAATTAATATATTTCTTACCATTACGGCATGCATATTTAGTCCGATTTTATATTACGGTAATGCCGAAAACGTACGAAATTGTTTACTCATATGTCTAATTCATCGTCGAAAAGTCTCAGTTGCTACAAATCATTTAGCTGAATGATGTTGTAAATTCAAAGTCTTGTTATCTTAAGTGCTTCCCTATATGAAGTCATCATTCAATGTTACTCCGTGATTTGTGAACAGTACTGTAGGTATTAATGAATTTCTCAGATAATCAATTTTATAAAAATGCGTAGTATGACTTGTTTAAAATTAGCTGTGCATACAATGTAAATAACGTTGCAATTTTAGTCATAAATGCAAATATTCAAGGATAACTGAGAGGATATCCTGTAGAAATGAATATTTATTTCTTGATATAGCATCAACCAGTCTATGTATTATCAAAATATATAATATCTACTATATCTACTGTATATTGTACTATATAATGTCAGTAAAGAATAGCACAGCATTTATTGAGTGCAATTAAAATTAGTCAAAAGTTATAACAAAATAACAATCTATATGTTGCGTAGCATATATGCAATAAGTTATGCACATATGTAATGAAGTATATAGTTTATGTGTATAATACTGTAGTTAAATTGTAATTGTAATGTAAGGCCCTTTTAAAAGTGATGGCTTATTGTCTAAAAAAATGATAACGAATAACGATGGTATGAAATAAATAATATGAAATGTAAAATACTTTAGCACTACATTCTACGTCTACTTTCCTGTAAAATAGCTAAAATAAAGGCATTTCTCAACAATAAACGACCTACAGTACTATATGCTGCATCATTTGATCATCATTTTTCTGGCGTTATACAAGCAAAGTGAGCTAGAAAGAGGGAGGTTCTGGTGATGTAATAAATGTATGAATAACGTCATCCAGCCACATTTAGTAGTACTGTTCAACATTATATTATCAACAACGCTGACTATGATACTGTATGGTGTAGAGTATACAAATGTATAGGGTTGGCATATAGAATTACCGTTTGGTCTGTCAACGTATGTATAGTCGCAAACATTGACTGGTTGGCGTATAGAATTACCGTTACGTCGGTGAACGTATAGGCTGACCGGTTTCTTACACTAACCGTAATATACATACATACTGTAGAGCGCAGATAGGATAGGTTTAGCGTGCTCATTGGAGCATAGGAGTTCGCAGTTTTAAATTATCTTACCTTGTCATCAGCAATATCTCGAATAAAAATGGTAGCATTACCACTTGCTAAACTCTTCTATCTAGGTATTAAACAGATATCGAAGCCATTGGTATATAGAATAAAGACTGCTGCCAAAGGAAGCCCATTCTTTAGGAAATATATTTGCATACCCCCAGCCCAAGGTACTGTACTGTTATGCACACGCAAAGCACAAGTTAACCCTAAGTATATCCTCCTATCTTTCTAGTTGTAAACCGATATAGACAATAATGTAAACTAGCTACATCTACATAACGGTGCTGAACTCTTAGATAATGTTATAATTTCGACTAGTTAATAAATAAGATAAATGAATAGTTGCTTAATCGCTTCTATGGATAAACTCTTTGCTAGTTATTCCTGCAACCTATAAAATCAGTTGTGGTTGAAGTTGCAAAGAATGCATGCTGCGCTACGTGTGCTATATCACTATCTACTAACATTTACGTATTAACTGTTGTATACCGTACTATTTGATCACAGCATCATCACTTTATGTTGAACATTATTCATTTAAGGCACTTTAATTAATCTACTACACAAAATTTGCGATGTTTATACCAAAATGACCCAAATCAAATAGTCGATTTTTCCCTTTATTTTACCAAATACGTTATTCTCACGTTGAAAGCCATTAAAATACTAAATTTTTATATGATGGTTTCATTTACAGCACATCATTGGCTGGAATTAAATGTTAAAATGAGATTAATGGGCTTCAAGGGTAGAGCTGAAATTAAACCTCTGAATGAAGCAAATGCTATTGAATTGGGTTCCGAAATCCTAGGAGAAACCTTAATATTTGGTATAGCAGCGGGTACTATTCTTGCAGAATACTATAGAGGCCAAAGAAACGAAAGGAAGAAAGAAGACGTACAAAATGAAACGTTAGCGTTACTGGTAGAAAAAGTTTCGGAACTAGAATTACAGATGCATCAGCAATCTGCTGAACTGAGAGAGCTAAGAAGAGGCATATCTTATCAAGATAGCAATAAGTGGACTAACCTATCCAATATTGATATTAAATTGTCTAGTAGTATTACAAATGAAAGTAGTAGTACCTCCACAAAGACGAAGAATGCAGATATCAATAAATCCAGCCGAGCAAAGGAAGAAAGTACTCAATCAGAGTCTACATCTAGTTTCTTCTCTTGGCTTTGTTAGTAATTCAAACGCTAGTAATGATCGTTCTGCCTCAGTCAATACAGGTGACAGAGAATCTAATTCAGTTAACGAGCAGGCTATAACAGATACTAAGGGCGTTGAACCCAAACATTGATATTTAAATTAAATTTATTGAATGCTTTTCTATTAAATCATATAGTATACATACAATTCAGATAAAAGATATTCACGTTTACAGCATATACCGTACGTGCACGTTGGAGGAGTGTCATATCTCTTATACTGTACAGTACAGTAATTTATAAACTTCACGACAGTAAGCCTTACTACACGCACAACTTTTCTGGCATCAAGCCAACGGAATCAGATGCTGGCTAAACCTACAAGCTAAGCTGATCAAGCGTATTGTATTTGTTGTGCTGATGTTTCTCTGATGAGATATACGAGTATAATGTACTGGTATACTACCAACTGTTCTGCTGCCTTAAGTTGTGGATTTTACTGTCTAATTAATTTAAGACAAATAGTTAATTTTTATACTTATTTGCTTCTGCTAAAATTGATGTGGAGCATTTAGGATAAGTTCGTATTGTTTGTATTGTTACGCATAAACCTATGTACGGTACATTAAATTGCTATATAATACAAGTCGTGAAAATTAATTGCAACTACTGGATACATTATATTATATGCAAATGCAATATAAATTATATCATTATTTCATGCCTCATTAATGTTTCGTGGTGTAAGATTTTTAATAAAAAATCTGCGAAGATTGTACTATCCAATTCTTGGTAGTACAGTACACAGTCTACTACCACAGCATATGTTTATATATGCTTAATGTAGTTATGATTGGCTCTTAATTGATTAATATGCAGACTTTATGAATCTGTCTTTAAGAAATTTTACAGTAAAATTATATTTGAAACCCATTAGCAGAATATTGTTCGGTGAACTGTAAATAAAAATTATCTAGTCGTTCCTTATGTTGCAATAGAATTTATCTCAGTTTATAAAAAATCGTTTTTATTCGGTAATGCAACAAGTTATACACTGTAAGTGGGTAGTACGTATGTACGAGTATATATATAATATACGTATTCTTAATTCTGCTTGCACGAACATAAACATTATAATGCTATGTTGCACAACAGTACTCGGCTCACGTACACATATCCGATAAAAAAGATTTCATATCTATGAAGTTAATGATGAGTACACCTATACTGCCACCAATTGAACGTTATTTGTCTTGAGAACTACATCAATGTAACGAAGGCAATTAATGGGAATGCGCTTGATGATTTTATACCATCTTTATTTACGAAATCTACATATACAGAATATCGAATAACTTGTAAACAACTAAATTCGTTTACTGTACGTGTTTACATTTCTGAACGACATAGGGCCGGGATACTCGTTTGAACGTATTACTTTGCCTATCATGCCTTCGTACACTAATTATTGTAGCATGGTGCTCACATTTTAACAAGTTATGGTAAAGTTTCCTCAAGTTAAGGTAATCATGTATTCCTTAGCTACATTTTATTTAAAAAGTTTAAAATTACAGAATACTTGAGACAGGCAATATTTCACGTCATCTATTCAGATGGAAGAAAGAAATTAATATGGGTCAAAGTAATTACGAAATCTACCCTAAGGTACTGCCTACATCTTACCTGACTAATTTGCATGGGTATATCATATGAAAATAATAATGCAAGAGCTTTACATATATGTGTAGAGCTGGAAAGCGAGATGTTACATTAATGTCGTAGGTAACTCATAAGGTTATATATAATCCATCAGCTCCGATGCGTACAGTACGGAAACTATATTTAAAATTCTAATTAAATTCAGAGTAAATCGCACAAATTATAAATCGATTCGTAACCCTAAATCTAATTTAGAGATGCAATGTAAGAAATTGATAATGCACGTTTTGCTGAATGTGAAATAGTAAATTATTCTGTGTAGTACTTGCACATTTTAGGGCAAGATCATTTTAAATTGTTCACATTAATATTATGCCTCAAATAAAATTAAGCAATTATAAACGTTGACGCTAATTAGATACATAATATACTGTACAACAGAAGGATTAGTTTTATTCTTTGGCATCTCCAATGCCGTCAGGATTGATCGCAAACACAGCCTCTGCTTCTGGTAGACAAGGCGAATCGTATATTTTACAAATACGAGTTTCTCCACGACCTTTCCTCAAATACAGTCTATAATATAATTATAAAGTATTATTAGAACATAATTGTATCCTATTTACTAACATCTAAGGTCGTATAATAACAGAAATTGTAAATTACCTAGTTGTAGAAGCATGGGCCATAATATTCCCTCCGATAGGTTTCTTAGGATCGGCTGTAAACATAGCGGCGCCATCCACTTGAGCAACGACTTGATTTGTTATTACAACAGCAACACCAAACTAGTTAAAAGACACAACCTCTCATTAGTGTATAGTTGAAAAAACATCCTAGAACAGGTTGCTCTACCTCATCAGCTAAACGTAATAAAGTTCGAAGAAATTTTGCCATGTGCATTTGACGAGCAGAAAGTTCTCCTCGACCAGAATAATCTGTCCTATATAATGCGGTAGCGCTATCGACGATGAGTAATGCGAATCTGCAAGAACAGGATAAAAACATCTTTATAACGATAGACATTCCACAAAATTTCGTTTATCATATTATGCATACCTTGATTCTGCCATCATAGCAGAGGCTTGTATTAATAGCTGCGACTGATGATCAGTATTGTAAGCTCTTGCAAAAGCGACATTATCAAGGACATCTTCTCCAGATAGGCCATATCTACATTTTAAGATATAATTTTTAGTCATTGTAGTTGGTCTCTTTTAGGGTGTCAGCCTACATCGAAAATACTAAACCAACAACTATTGTTTGTACGAATTGCTCGCAATATTGTGGCATAATCATAACATTCCCTAAAGTATATATGAAAATTTACCGATGCTATAGAAATTTTAATTACCTATCGGCGACAGCTACCAATCTCTCAGGGCGGAAAGTCCCTTCTGTGTCGATATAAAGACATTTTCCTTCCCCTCCTTGCATATCTATTGGAAGCTGAAATATTGCAACAAATTGTTTACCGAATATCATAGCTATGAACCTAATATAGGTTGGACTATAATCATAGTATACTTCAGCTTACCTGGCACGTCACAGCTAATGTATGGCAGAGTTGAGTCTTACCAGTTCTAAATTCACCAAATATTTCAGTAATGGATCCTGTTTCAATTCCACCTAAAGAAAACGAGTGATAAGTTTTTTTAACCAAAACTCAAAAACGACTACATACTATTTCTACACGTATTTTTAAATTAGATCAAGTACGACGTTATAGTAAAATAAGTTTAGCCTAGTGACCTCCAAGTAGTTTATCCAATTCTTTCGATCCAGTCGTAAGCTGGACAACTTCTGAACGTCGTTGATGAAACTCGGTAGCAGTAGTAAATCCCATAGGGACAAGTTTTATGGATTCAGAAATGATTTTATCTGCCTTTGCATCACTAATGCCCTTAATCGATAGCAACTGCTTTTTAGGTGTATATGCAACAGCTTCAACGGTATAAAATCCAGCATCCATTAATTTTTTAACATCATTAGCGCTTATTCCACATACCTATAACAAGATCAATAGAAATTAAGAACTGTTGTTTTATGACTCGCTTTTTAAAACATTATAAATTTCATAGTTGTAGCATTCATAAGTTTACAGACATACTTCCAATTTACTAACTAACTGGGGACCAAAATCTTCCTGTTCTTGCTCTAATTCTGCAGTAGCCATTGGTAGTGATAGTATTAATTAATGCTTCGATTACTAGAAAATGCTAAAGGTTGATGATAAGATTAGATTTCAAGAATGATATCCACAGTAGTAAAACTTTATGTATAATGCGAATTATTTATTAATGAATTCAAGTGAACGATCACTAATCTTGTACGATTAAACTAAACCATAAAGCCGTTCTTGGTTATAGGAAATTTTTATTTAGTCATTCGCTACTGAGATTTAGTAATAAAATGCAATACTCGTAAAATACAGTACATGAAAATGCCAGCGATCCCATGAATATACGACTTTTACACGATCCAATGCCAGTTTACAATTCATAAAGTATTGATTCTGATAACAGATTGCATTCGTAATGGTCCTTGCCTGTATTTGACTACACTAGCTAATAGTTCAAGGACTCGAAAAAGTTCCAATGTCCCAAGCAACAATTACACATGCATTCATGATTACAGGCAGAGATAATTACACGATCCAATGCCAGTTTATAATTAATAAAGCATTGACTGTAATATCAGATTGGATTCATAATGGTCCTTGCCTGTATTTGACACCACTAGTTAATAGTTAAAGGACTCAAAAAAGTTCGATGTCCCAAGCAACAACTATACGTCCATTTATGATTACAGGCAGAGATAATAGTACAGTAGAGTATACAGCTTTGCGATTAAGTTCCAATTTTTCATAATGCTTCGTACTACCTACACGCAATAATCTATTATACGAGGGCTATGTTAGAGTATCTCCCATTTCATAATAAGGGGAAAGCCATATTCATTAAGTTGAAATACTTTAGTAGTTCATAGCTGTTGATCACCAGTAGTAACTAGCTAGCCAAACTGCTGTATTTATTATTTACGACATTGGATACTGTACAGTACGTCATCGTCTGTAACTACTGTGCACTGTAGGACTCTGTGATACAGTGTACAGTACACTATAGCCCAGCATACAGTACGGTAGGTGCTGTTATGGCGCGAATATTGCAC